TGGTATACTAAACAGTGTCCATACGTAGATTGGTTGGTTTGTTGTTTAACGCCGCACTCAGCTATATGACGGCGGTTATAACGTAGAACCAACGTTACACTGTTCCTGGTTACCATCGTGTATCAGGGTCAAGGCCGCATCCCTGTCTGGTTCTGGGTGCAGATGCCGGGCCATCAGGTGAAGCTGATCCTCAGGCTCTTCCAAGTCTAGACAGAGCTTGGATCTCACTGCCATACGCATGGGGGATTTTGTCTGTGGTAAGTTTGTCCTCAGACAGATATGCCACCTTGCCCTGATATAACCTATATGGAAACGTTCGATTGCGCAGTGCACCAACTGTACTAGACGATAATGTTTTACTTTAATGATCGTCTTTTGAAATCACGCGGGCCGGATCGAACCACCGACCTTCTGCTCTCCAGGCAGACGCTCTATCCACTAGACCACGAAGTCGGTTGTTCCCTACAGAGTAAGACACAAACTACATACTACAGACACTAACTACATACTACAGCAGTCGTTATTCTTACTGCATGGTCTGAGCCATAAATCTCCACCGACCTGATGTATTGATATAAGGTTCTAGGTTATACCTGATCCAAAGTTATCAATACTCCCACAAGATCAACATCTTAAGTTGTTTGCGGAGTGTACAGTTAGAAATACAAACAATCGACTTAATCACTCTTAATGCTGTTATACAGTGAATAATATCCCGAAGTGAAAGAAACAGGTCTCCGATGTACACAATGTTTGTCTTTGGTCTATTTTAATCTGGGAAGGTCAACATTAGAACCCAACCGAGAGGAAACGTCTCCAGAGCACTGAAAGCCGAGTAAGATGAAATGGTTTTGAAGACAGGACAGCGACATAATGGCTTGGAAAGCTTTCGTAGTTTTAAGCAATGTAGTTTTGTGCCGCAGTCAGCAATATTTCAGCTATGTATGAGCTGAAGGAAAACAAGTCGGTTATTGATCCTCTCCAAGTCGCTTAACCTGGCATACCAGACCCATACATTCACTCCTTACGAGAAGTAACCGGGCATTGTTCTAGTGAGTGAGGGAGGGAGTTAGTGAGTATGGTTTTACGCCGCTTTTAGCAATATTCCAGCAATATCACGGGAACACCAGAAATGGGCTTCACACATTGTACCCATGTCGGGAATCGAACCCGGGTCTTCGGCGTGACGAGCGAACGCTTAAACCACTGGGCTACCCGACCGCCCCTGCACCTGTTCTAACCTGGCATACCAGACCCATGCATTCACTTCGTAAGACAAGCACGGGCTACCGGGCACCTGTTCTGGGTCCCCGCAGAAGTAGAAGCTCAATTCAAGATTTTAAGATGAGGTGAGGTGAGGTGAAATTGGGTTTAACGTCGCGTCCAAGATTATTGCACTTATATAGCGACGTGCATGTACGTGTATGTGTGTTGCTGCTTGTACTAGTCCGGGCTGATGCCGATTTATAGTGCTAGCTCACTGAGATACCATGCCGCAGTTTAACATGAATACCCCACTCAGAGCTGACCAGTCCTTGTTTTAGCCCCTTAATGCCGAGCGCCAGACAGGGTAACAACAAATACAATCTTTTAACGTCTTTTGGTATGACGCGGCCGGGGATCGAACCCCGGACCTTCCGCTCTCCAGGCGGACGCTCTACCATTAGACCACGGAGGCGGTCGATTTGAAGATGAATAAGTCATAGAACTTGTTTGTCAGTGCTCAAAAAGTATCTTATACTAGATTGAGCATCATCATCACGAATTTTCATGCTAAACAGTTCTGTCTTTGTACAGATGATGCGATGAATTAACTCAAGTAATTTTACATCTTTTGTACATTTTCTGTATCTGATTTAAACATCTTTCCATGATATATCAAAGTGCAGAATGGTGTCCCATTTTTCACATTCTGTTGCAAGATTTGCTGTAGTTATAATATTGTCATAAAAAAATCTGGAGCCTTGAAGCGGTACAAGTATATACATCAAAATTGTTTTTAAATATTCTTCATATAGCATAATGTGATTATTTCTGTAAACATCTTTCAAGGTTTTTTGTATGATTGATTGAATCTGGTAATAGAAAATGATTGTGTCTTTAATTTGGTATGTTCTTTTAAGTTTATTGAAGACCATTATACCATCTTCATTACAGAGATCTTTAATCGTGTATATTCCCTTTGAAAAAAAACTGTTTCTTGTAATAAAATCTGTATTTTCAAAACGGATGGTTACACCAGAAAGGTTCTGAAAGTACATTTGTGTCATCCATAATTTCGTTTGTTTCCTTGTTGTTTAATGCCGCACTCAGAAATATTCAACCTTCACGAGGGCGGTCTTTAAATAATCGAATCTGGACCATAAACTCCAGTGATTGACATCATGAGCATCATTCCATATAGAATACGAAACGAGCTCCGGTGTAATATTAATTTTATGATACAAGTGAATAGTTCTGGTATAAGGAGAGCGAAAGCGAAATTGTAGAATCTATTTTTTTTACATTTGAATACGTATCCTGCATCACTCCCTAATGCATTAACTGCTCACTTTTGGTCAGAAACGAAGCTGTGTGAGGTCCAGCTGAAGAAAAGGTTGTTCCAACCGGTTTTGAAGCAGGCCCCATTGCACAGCTCCCACGTGACCACGGAAATAATGACGTCACGTTTACTCCAAATCACTGCTTGAAACATCTTCTGAAGCAGGTCTAGCGACAAGCAGTAATATGGGTATACATGACATCATCACTTCCGGGGTCACATGGAACTGTGCCATGGGGCGTGCTTCACAACTAACTTTTTCTTGTCTGTCCAAAAGCAAGCACTAAATGCATTAAGGGCTAATTCAGGAGAGGATTAAAAATATGAGTTATATTTGCAATGTCTTTTGAGACCAAGAAGAAGTCAAGTCTAGCCTGGTGTTTAGGCCTTTTTTCCACCATGTGTAGTTTTTTGCATCTTGATTTTTCTCTCTCCAGATATCAATTAGATCAAAGCTTGTTTTTTTCAAGTACCAACTTTCTTGCTTTAGGATTGTTGATATGTTTATAATTTTCCAAATCGACAGCAGAGTACCAAGTTCCAGCTTGCCGAGGATTTTTTTCCACTTTTATCAAGGAGTGTTGATATATTTGATATCAAAAGACACGAGGGTGAGATTTTATTTATCATCCAACATCATTCTTTCAACTTTTTCAGTTTGTAGAAAGTAATAAGCAGTGTCTTAAGTGTAAAAAGTACTGCTAACAGCTTCAGTAGCAGAGCCATTAGTGACGTCATTTGATTGTGAGGTCACAATGGTCTGCAAAGCATTGTGATGCAATTTCATTGCAGCGATATCTACAGTATAGATATCGCTTGATCTTACCCAAGCGATATCTCATGTGGGAGCCAGTTTTGGATGATAAATCAAAATAGCAACTCCTCTTGCATTTGACTTATGAGGCCCTATCATAGAAGTCTACATTCATCGGGTGGACTTACAGTAAGAATTTAACAATAGTCCGTGTCAGAAACATTTGAGGCTACTAGCCCGAATTTGGCTCTCAGCATTATTTTCAGCTGATTTCTGAGATATTGTGTAGTCTAATATTTCGGAGGTGAGGTGAGGTGAAATGGGGTTTAATGTCGCGTCCAAGATGATTGCACTTATATAGCAACGTGCATGCATGTGTGTGTGTGTGTGTGTGTGTGTGTGCGTGTGCGTGTGAGTGTGTGTGTGCGTGGCTGCTTGTACTTGTCCGGACTGATGCCGATATATAGTGCTAGCCCATTGAGATACCATGCCGCAGTTTAACATGAATACCCCACTCAGACACAGTATACCGACTCCGAGCCGACCGACCAGTCCTTGTTTTAGCTCCTTAATGCTGAGCGCCAGACAGGGTAACAACAAGTACCATCTATTAAAGTCTTTTGGTATGACATAGCCGGGGCTCAAACCCCGGACCTTTCGCTCTCCGGGGGGACACTCTACCACTAGACCAAGGAGGCGGTCTAATATTTCTGAGCTTACTAGACCGAACTAGTGGCTTTAATCACAGACTGATCAAATAAATAGAACTGTTACTCTTAACACTATATCCATGAAACATATTTACATATTCAAAAGAAGCTTCAAAGCTACCTCTGTTGTTGTTATGTTAGAGCAAGACTTTTGCTTGGCCTACAAAACCTGTGTATAGAATAAGTTAGGTTTATTTACACTCAGTAATATCTCTGATCTGAAAGAGATATTTTAAATTCAGACTGAACCCTCCACTGATGCTGCGTGAGTGTGTGAGTGAGCTTTTAGCAATATCACATGTATTCATGTGGGGAATCGAACCCAGGTCTTTGGTGCCCCCCACCGCCATGAGTTAGAACTGACCCCCAATAATGAAGAACGCAAAATGCACCTGGAGGTTCAAGACTTGGTTGACTGGATGTCATCATACACTACAACTTGGGTCGATGATCATATTATTAATCGGTGGTTTAACTGGGCCAAACCGGATGGTTTAAAGGCTGCCACCACATGGCAGTATACACATTTGACAGACAAAACACATTCATCTCTACACCAACATCAGTTTATTGGCTTCATGAAACTTACATGTGGTGTATATTAAAACAAACATGGTACAGATATATGTATGATTTTCTTAAATATGAATGTGGTGAAAACAATGTTTCATTTCATTAACAACATTCATTAGCTGTACTGTTCCAAATCACTGGTTACAAAAGTTTGTAGTTGTGATTATGAGTGAGTTTGGTTTAGCATAGTTTCCAGTTGTCCAGTTACCGGTATATAACAGTGTGTGAGCTTGATGTAGGTGGAAAGCCCAAAGTGATGCTGGTATAGAGTGTTTACCATGTTCAATTTGTTTGGTTTGCTTGGTTGTTTAACGCAGCACTCACCAATATTCCAGCTATATGGCGGAGGTCTGTAAATAATCAAGTCTGGACCAGACAATCCAGTGATTGATCGTAAGCACCAATCCACGCAATTGGGGTACGATGACATGCATCGACCAAATCAGCGAGCATGACCACCCGATCCCATTAGGACAAGCATAGTCGCCTTTTACGGCAAGCATGGGTTACTGAAGACCTACTCTACCCCGGATCTTCATGGGTCGTTTACCTCTTTAGAGAAACCACAAGTAAGGATATGGAGTCTAGTAACCTAGAAACATAATCAGAGCTAATCTGGGATTTGAACCCACGATATTAGGTTCCTGGTACGTCTAAGGGACAGAACTCTGCACAGGGAAGTGGACAGCCTTAGATAACTGGGCCACATATTTCATCGGCACAGGGAAGTGCAAAACAAATCTTACATCATGTAACACTATATATCATCTTCCAAGTGAGGCGCAATCATGGTAATTGAAGGACAAAGTGAAAATCATCATCTTTTCATGTGCTTCCCCTGCCGTTGCTTCTTCTTCTGGCCTTTCCTGTTCTTCTTCTTGGTGTTCATCAGCTTCATCTGTTTGGGGGGGATGGAATCTGAAACATCCACATGCTCTGTTACACATCAACCCACAAGTGTAGATAAATCAAGTGTGATACCTTTCCCATATCTGTGTCTGTGGATAATCCATGTTCTCTATAGCTCGTTGGTTATTCTTGAATATTGCACATCTGTGCTGAGTTCCAGATCAGGTACTTTTCTGTGTAGAGTACACAAAATACAAAATATATTATCACCACCCGGTAACAATGCAGTTTACCGGGCGCAGCCCGAGCTCTACCATCCACACAAATACCGCACCATAGCACGACTGCTATACCGTTACCGTGTCTCACGCTCCAGTGACTCTCGCTTCACGATCCAACACCCCTTTTCGGGCTAAGGTAAACTTACACGTCTTTCAATCCAACACCCCTTTTCGGTCTTAGGGAAATTTACAAGTCTTTCAAATTAGTTTCAATCCAATACCCCTTTTCGGGCTTAGGGAAACTTACAAGTCTTTTCGATCCAACACCCCTTTTCCGTCTTAGGGAAACTTACACGTCTTTACGATCCAACACTCCTTTTCGGTCTTAGGGAAACTTAAACTTCTTAACGATTCAACACCCCTTTTCGGTCCTTAGGGTTAGCTTGTTTAGGGCAAGGGTTAGCCATAAATTCATACCTTTTGAAGTGTTAATCTGGTTATCTGATTGGTCGGTCATGTTGACATAAACAATGGCGGGTGTGGTGTCAAGAAAAGATGAATGGGAGGGCGGACCGTGACGTCATACGCATGTGCAATTCATTGTTTACCTAATTGCGCATGCGTGTTAATGGGGTGCTAACATTGATAACATGTGAGAGCACTCTTGGTCCAGTGGTAGAGCGTCGGCTAATTAACGCATTAATTAGCCAAGCTGGTGAGCCGGCGAAGCGCGTTCAAGCCCCCACAGAGCTAATTGGTTCTGAAAAAGTGCACCCGCAAAAGTGTACTACTCCCCATTGGCCTATTATTTCTGAGTTGCTTGCATACAAATATGCAGGTAAACTAAAATACAACAGAATAAAACAATGTCTGTAATTACCCAATATGGCCTCACCACATTCCTTTACACGTCAACCCGTGAAGATCAGGTGTACAATAGCAATAGGTGTCTTCAGCAACCCATTCTTGCCACAAAAGTGAGTAAGTGAGTGAGTATGGTTTAACGCCGCTTTTAGCAATATTCCAGCAATATCACGGCAGGGGACACCAGAAATGGTCTTCACACATTGTACCCACCTGTTGTCGAGAATTGTACCCGGGTTTTTGGCATGACGAGCAAATGCTTTAACCACTAGGCTACCATTTTAGGGTCCCCCGCCGTTTTATTGCTGGAAGAGTGCTAAAAACAGCTTAAAACCACCTCACTCACTCTAATCATTGGTTTTAATAGTACCAAATGGACTGGACCCCATTGGATGAAAAACATGTTGAATACCCAAAGAAAACTGTGAATGATCACCTGGGAGTAATTATTTAAAATTATTTACTTCAAATTGTAAAAAAAGCATTTGGAGCCCTGTCTGTCCAACTTGATCTTGATAAGTGTTTTCCACAGGCATGATGAGCCAATAAGGTATTCTTTGAGTACACATATCAATGGCAATTATCGAGTGATTACAGCCACACACAGCAATATGATGGTACGTCTGTAAATAACACAGTCAGGGTCAGACATGGGGGAGGGATAAAGGGAGTGGGGGACCGGGAAACTTTGTTAAGGACAATATATATTTTGGCCACTGCTTCAAGACTTATGATTTTGTTTCTCTGAAAGAAGGGGCCTCACAACACTTCAATAGTCCAGGTGGCAATAAGTCGACATCACAAACCATAAATGAAGAAACATCAGCATTTCAAAACAGATTTTATCCTTTTTTATCAGCATTTCAAAACAAATTTTATCCTTTTTTATCAACATTTCAAAACAGATTTTATCTTTTTTTTATCAGCATTTCAAAACAGATTTTATCGACATCACAGAACATAAATGAAGAAGCATCAGCATTTCAAAACAGATTTTATCCTTTTTTATCAGCATTTCAAAACAGATTTTATCCTTTTTTTATTAGCATTTCAAAACAGATTTTATCCTTTTTTATCAGCATTTTCAAACAGATTTTATCCTTTTTTATCAGCATTTCGAAACCTTTTTCAACATTCTTAAATATTTTTTAACAAAGAAGAAAATGCAAATCCTAAAAACAATTTTTTGATTGTTTTGTCAGGTAGCACCATTGATATACCAGTCGACCCGTCCCACTCCAGACCCTGCATGGCCCAGTGAAGGGCGGAATGTTGGTTGTTGACCCCTGGCTGAACGATACCAAAAGACTTTAAAAAATGGTACTTGTTGTTACCCTGCATAACGGGCATAAAACAAGGCTTGGAGTCAGTATACTGTGTCTCAGTGGGGTATCGATGTATATTTGCAGCATGGTATCACACTGAGCTAGCACTATAAAACCATGACTCATCCAGACTCGTACAAGCAGGGAGGAATACACGTATGCACACTTGCGCGATGTATGTGATTTCACGTGACCTTCCCTTCCCACTCTGATGCTGGGCATAAACAATTAAGCCTTTTAAAAGAATTTCTGCTCTATACGTCTGCTGAAAGAACGGACCCTGGAGACGTGCTAAGTCAGCACAGGAAATGATTGTCTACCCAACACTTATGTTCCACAGATAAGTTCCCCTCAAGCATGGGGCAAGAGTCTGGGTCAGTTTGGCTGTGTGGGTACATTGAGATAGACGGAATGGCCAGTGATTGATATTATAGAAACCTGCTCTAGATGGAAACATACCTGAAATGAAAGGATAGAGTGGGTGTTTCTGCAATTTGCAATTTCTGCCAAGCCATCAAAAGGCAAAATTAAGAGTATCAAATTGAGACGTCATAATTTGTCTTATAATGAGTCGATGTCTCTAGTTTCATGGTTCTACTGCAATCACAAGTTTCCATTAAATAGCTGAAAGACATGATGTTGATCTATATTATAACAAAACCCTCATTCAAATGTCATTTGATAGCAGAGTCTAAAAGATGTATGCCTGCAGCTACCTTTCTAGTTTAATGACATCACTTCCAGTTTGGAAAGTTTTATGTCCAATGTACAGGCTGATGTAGTCTAGTACTTTCAGTCACGTGGTCATATTTCTTCCAACTACCTAACAAAGTTATAAGCACTTCTGGTTTAACGAAGGGGTGGTGGGGTAACCTTGTGGATGAAAGGATTTATTCGTCATGCCGAAGCACTTGGTTCGATTCCCCAAATGGGTACAATGTGTGAAGTCCATTTCTGGTGTCCCTCACCGTGATATTGCTGGAATATTGCTTGAAACCATACACATTCTTAAGTATGATGACCTGTTTTATGACATCAGCTCCAGTTTGGAGAAACCTATACCAGTACCTATACCTATAAAGTAATGCAACTTGGAAACAAAAAGTATAATACCTCAAGCTAGGAGTGAGTGAGTATGGTTTTACTACAAATTTAGCAATATTCCAGCAATATCATGGCAGGGGACACCTCAAGCTAGGAAAGTAATATGCACTTCTGGTTGAATGATACCATTTCTAGTTTGGGAAAATACATACCACACAGTCCGACAGAAAGTCCAATGTCTCACGTTACACTGATAAGAAAAGTGACTTTAATGACCTTGACCCTCAATTTCAGCCAAACATATGCTAATTTCATTACAATGAAGATCTTTTACCTGGATACAGTACCACTCTGCATCAACCAAGTCAGCGAGTCTGACCACCCCATCCCGTTAGTCGCCTCTTACAACAAGCATAGTCGACTTTTACAGCAAGCATGGGTTGCAGAAGAACTATTCTATCCCAGATCTTCACGGGTCACGGATACAGAACCACTCTGCATCAAGCTCTGAGGACACCTCCATAGAAGGTTGTGTCATGTGAACCTTCAGCAAACTTTGATCGACCAATCAAAATGAGGATAGCCTGGTCCTTAAGCCAATGAGATGTCAGCTCTCTCAAACTATTCGGCTTCAGTTTTTCTACCACGGCGATAGCCAAAAACACTGCCAAAGAACACAAACCCTCAATAGTACATGATATCTACAACATATATGGCATTGGTTTTCTGGTTTTTGTTGCAATAGGAACTCATCTATTAAGTATTTGTTTTTGAGATCAGATATGCTTGTCTAAATCCTCATTCACTCATACCAAGAATTTAGAAGCCTTGATGCTGACTGGGTGAGCAGAAAGTTCACGGGACGTGTTCTAAGACTTCCACGCAGAGAGGAATCACATATGATACAAGATCTGATTTACACAAATTTATCACATACTTGATTATTTGTAGCAGAAAACATTGGTGCTAGCTCTTACAAACATACAAAGCATCACCAAGGTGCTGTCCTCCCCAGGTACGCAAAGTAGGATTAGTGAGGCACAACGATCTCAATAATCTCAAGGGTCGATCTAACCGCTTGTCCGTTAAAATTACAAAGGGATTGCTGAAACGTAAAGTAGATGGCCCGTCTGGCTAGTTAAAATTTGGTGTTTAATGTTTTTGATTGGATCATCTCAGTAGAATGACAATCAGCTGCCATTTTGTAATGTTGTGTACAACAACTTCTTTATTTGATCCTAAATTGACCTGAAAAGAGGCAAATGGAAGCCAAGATTCAATCTCAGAATGCAGGAAAAAACGTTTTTGGGGTGAGGAGTGCCCTGCTTGGAGGCTACATGAGTGAGTGAGTGAATATGGTTTTACGCTGCTTTTAGCAATATTCCAGCAATATCACGGCAGGGGACACCAGAAATGGGCTTCACACATTGTACCCATGTCGGGAATCGAAACCCGGGTCTTCGGCGTGAGGATCGAACGTTTTAACCTCTAGGCTACCCGACCGCCCCGGAGGCTACACGACCTCAGGTTCATCCACTTCGCGGCCTCCTCCATTTAGTTGTAGGCAAGTTAGGTTGGAGAAGGGGCAGTACCTTTTAAAAAGAGCAAGCCCTGGTGGCTACACACAAAGTTGTAATGTTGCTGTGTCAGCCTACCTGATGGGTCAAATGTGCAGGGAATGCGTCCAAGCTTCCGGTGTGCAGGCAGCAGCACTGTGGGGTCGATGGGGATCCACGGAACACTCGACTCTGTCTTCTGGGGGACGATCTGTCCGAAACCCATGTAGCTGAACTTGAGGTCATATGATCCCCTACAGAAATTCAGGACACCAAGTTAAAAACGCCTGATATAAGAGGTTTTGTTTGTAAATACATGTAAACAAGTCTGGACCAGACAATCCAGTGATTGATATTATGAGCAACGATCTACATTGTCAGGATACACTGACATGCAATCAAGCAACTCAAGCAAGTCAAGCAAGTCACTGAGTCTGACCACCTGATCCAATTAGTCAGCAGGACAAGCACAGGTTGGTTCGAACACAGAATCACAACAGGACAATCTTGCATACAGTATCACTTATAATAGAACCGCCCTGGTGGGGTAGTGGATAGAGCACCTGCCTTGAGAGTTAAAGGACAGTGGTTCGATCCCTGGCCGCATCATACCAAAGGATGTTAAAAGATGGTACTTCTTGTTACCCTGCTTGGGACTTTGAAACAAGTACTGGTCGGCTCGGAGTCAGCATACTGAGTTTGAGTAAGGTATCTAAGTGGGCTAGCATTACTTTACCAGTATTAGTCCAGAGGAGTACAAGCAACCGCACACACACACAAATGCATGCACGTGACTATATAAGTCCAACAATCTTGAACGTGACATTAAACCCCCATTTCACCTCACCTGATAATAATTATTATTATGATGATTGTAACATTATCAATTAACTGGCATATTAGTAACTACCTAATTTCTTCAGAAATCAGAAATTTCTTCATTGGCAATCCTAAGGGAAATACTTGCAGATATTGTCCTACTTATAAACTTGATCAGAAATTGGTTATATAAAGTAGGAACATGAAAAAAACATTATCTGTTAACTCAAACTTTTTGCACATGTTAAAATGTACATTAAAATATTGTTATATATGTTTTACAACCCCATCAAATAACAACTCACCGTTTGTTATCGGTTTGCTTCTGAAGCTGACAGGAGTTGTCTCCCTTCGAATGACTCAGAAGATATTGTCCCACGGGCAACCTAAGAATGCATGGTTTGGGTGACAATCAACTTTGGTTTTTGTGCATAATATTTTGACCAAAAAAAGGGTAATGTCGGAAACATGGAGAACATAAGGTTCTGTATTTAATCTAATAATTGAAACATTATAGTTCAGAGGATGATTCAGAGGTTATGTCAAATAGCAGTGAATAAAAATAATGATAATAATAACAAAAAACAATGTCATCTCAATCCCCAGTCATAGGGCACATCATAATTTTGTTTGTTCATATAGTACAGAATACTATGTGGTTAAAGTTGAAAAACATGGAGTAATGGGCCCAACTATGTGAAAGCTCTGGAAACCATCTGAATGGCACCAATTGTTTATTTCAGCCTTAAGTAAGTATATTTTTGATAAGCTTCATCATGTAACTTCAGTAGTTTCTGAGAAAATGTGCCCCCATTGCAACCACTATGCACCAAGTAAACAGGGAAAAACACAAACTATTTCTTTTAGAAATACTAAAACATCAAAAAAGCACCAGTTCAGTATGCATTTGATACACATGCAAAGTTTCATAATACAATATTAAACATTTTTCAAGTTATGCTCTTAAATGACATGTGGCAGTCGGATGGACGGAAAGAGGGAAGGACAGTCGGATGGAGGGAGAGCACACAGTGCTATATCCCCCTTTGTGGTGGGGATAATAAATGGATATTAGTAATACGTTTACTTGTTTGTTGTTTAACACCGCACTTGGCAATATCTCAGTTTCGTGTTACAATAGTAGACAACTGGTGAAAGCCAACTAGTCCGCAGCTAGTTCATATACAAGTTTTGGTTTGTTTGTTGTATAACGCCGCACTCAGCAATATTCCAGCTATATGACGGCGGTCTGTAAATAATTAAGTCTGAACCAGACAATCCAGTGATTGACATCATGAGCATCAATCCTCGTAAATTGGAATATGATGACATACATCAACCAAGTCAGCGAGCCTGACAACCCGATCCCGTTTGTCACCTTTTACGATAAGCATAGTCCCCTTTTACGGCAAGACCTAAAGAACTAACAGATTAGTAGTGGTGTCTATTCCTGCGACAGAGGCCTGTAAATAATCGAGTTTGGACCAGACAATAAAGTGATTGATATTGTGAACAACGATCCACACATTCAGATACAATGACTATCAACAAAGTCACTGAGTCTGACTACTGATCCATTTCGTTGTCTCTTTAGCCCAGCATAGCATAGCTTGCTGGGGGCTAGTCTAACAAGGGTTGAAACAGTAAAATATCATATAAAAAGTGTACTCACTCTGTCAGCTTGAGGAATAGACTGTGTAAGGAGGCAAGTGCATTGCTTGGTCTGAAAGTACAACAGAGCTGTGAGGATCAAGTGAATGAGTCGGGCAAAGAAGTCTGTCTGCATCAGTGGTCAGCTACAAACAAGTGGGACACAGTCTGCCCTGAGATAGGGTAACGAGTGAGTGAGTGAGTTTTGTTTTACACATCTTTTAGCAATATTCCAGCATTATCAGGGCGGGGGACACCAGAAATTGGCTTCACACATTGTACCCATGTCGGGACTCAAACCAGGGATATCGACGTGACGAACGACCGCTTGAACCACTGGATTACCTGACCTCCCTGATAGGTTAACAAAGCACCTCTTTAAAGATGTAGCCAACAAACACAGAACATTCAAAAGAAAACAAAAACACACAGAACTGATTCTTGATAAACTTTAGCAAACATGGGGTATTTCTATTTCTTGAAGGTATACTTCTTTTGATTAAACTGGGTTGTGGATCCACCAATCACCCAAAATAAAAGCAAATATACCTATAGTTTACACATTCATATAACTTGATGAAGAACAAAATAATTTGATTTTTTTAAACATTTTTTGGCCACCTTTGACCAGGATTTTCACAAATACATCCAAAACCTAAAATACAAAAAATTAAAATATATCAAACAGATGTTGAATGAAGTATTGACATCAATGAAACAATCAATCAAAGGGAAACATTTTTTAAATATTTTATCCACTCTACCATTGCTGTAAAAACAAAATGCTTCGCAATATAACTTTTGTCATAAACGGCCATGGCTATACATAAGCTTTCAATAAAACCAACAATCCTGCATACTTACACAAAGGGCAGGGAGGGATTGACTATTGAGCTGAGCTCCAGTTCATCTATCTTCACCAGTTCCGATGTAAATGCATTGATGCGACCTGAGAAAAATCAAGATTATTACACTGCTAGTGTCATTCTACTGATAACTAACACTTCTAGCAGGATGTATGTTTATTTATTTATTTATTTGATGCTTAATGCTGCACTGAGCAATATTCAAACGACATGAGGGTTGTCTGTAAATAATGGAGTCTGGACTAGACAATCCAGTGATTGATATCATAAGCATCAATCCATGTAATTTGGATACAATGACATGCATCAACCAAGTTAGCTTACCTGTTTGGGATAACACTTTCTCAGTAAAGTACAAATTCTAGTACTTTTGGGGTTGAGTTCCACCTGGGATTCGAACCCACAATCTCAGAGTGAGGCACTTAATTGCAAGCACACAAAGTCAACAATCTAACAATTTAATCCACTCGGCCAGCAAGGCTTCCACAAAAATGAAAGTCCGACATCTGGTAGTCTAAGAATGAGTGAGTTGGGTTTAATGCCGCTTTGAACAGTATAACAGTTATATCGCCGCATGTCTGCTTAATGTGGGAGAAAAGCCTGGAGTGATGCAGGTCTTAGACGTTTACCACTTTGGTGAAACCCACGAGCACGGGTATGGTTCTGACAAACCTAGGAACATAATCGGGGAGAATCAGGATTCAAACCCACCATCATAGCTTTTTGGGGTGCCCAAGGGATGCAACTCTGCCTTAGACGGCTGGGCCACCTGTGCCCTTGTACTCCACTAAGAAATATTTGTTATATTTGATCACTTTCCAAAAGGCATTGTGTATTCACAGGTGTTCATGGATGACAAAGGTCTTTAAGGAATGCTTTAACCACGAGACCACCTTTAACAAGATGACACACATGAAACCTGGACATATGTAACTAGGAATGGTTGTTTTGGATCCTGACCTCGAACCAGCTTGGTGTTGGGTTTGGTGTGGCACGAGATCCAGTCCCGGGACACCTCGCTCATCGTCACCTGCTCCACTCCGAACTTCACCTGGTACTCCAACTTGGGGACGATCAGCACCGGCTGTGCCTGCCACACATCAGACATGAAGTATATATACTACAACAAAACTAGTCATAGTGCAAAGATGGCTTTTAGAACTAGTCACAGCGCTAATTTAGTTTTGTGCATACATCAGACTTAAATAGAATACTAAACAAGCTTGCATGTAATACAATTTTTGGAAATGAGTGAATAGTTCTGTTATCTGATTAGCGAAATTTTCATTACATGAGAGTTTAGTATTTTACTTATTACTTGCTGTTTAAAACTTTGTAAAATTTCACTGTCTTGTGGAAATATGCTGATGTATACATGATCCACAGCATAATCCAGTTTAACAGGATAATACCTCAAACCTATTACCAATTAAAAGTTGACAGATATTTATTTAATACCATACAATGCCCTAGCTTCAGAATTGAGGGGACCGATCCCAACTCTCATACTTTACATGAGGCTTACGACTGTCGTTGCGCTGCCATCACTTTGTGGAACGGGGCCATTCACTACAAAGTTTACAAATATGTCACAATACCCTTTGAAGCAATATGTGAAATTTTGTTGAAAGATATATCAAACACTGTTATGCCAGCTTATTGTTATTCAACAGTGCTATCTTCTATAACGGGCGAGTAATAAAATACTTCATCCCACACCTACAATGACAATCACTGGATTGTCTGGCCCAGACTCAATTATTTCCAGACCGCCGTCATATAGCTGCAATATTGCTCAGTGTGGTGTTAAAAAACAAAAAAACCCAAAAAACAGTGTAAGTGCGCAGAAAACTACCCAGCATACCTTCTGAGAGAGGCCCTTGAGGATTCCATGGCATGAATTTCGGACAAGGAGGCTGAGCCCCGAGAAGTTCCACAGATTGTAACATGTGTTGTGCTCCTCGGGCTGCCGGAACTGGGACAGGTTCTCTGGCAAGTACAGCACTGGGAATTATTCTTCTATACATAATTTGGTAGAACATCATAAGGACAAACCAATATAATTACTTGTTTGAGACTTCTGTCTCCAAAATATCAGGCAAGAGGAATAAAACATTATTTTAAAACAAAAATTTATTACTAAAATCATTTCCCCCATATTGTTTGTTTGTTGTTTAACGCCGCACTCAGCAATGTCCCAGCTATATGAGGGCAGTCTGTAAATAATCAGGTCTGGGCCAGACAATCCAGTGATTGACATCATGAGCATCGATCCACGCAATTGGAATCAATGACATACATCAACCAAGTCAGCGAGCCTGACCACCTGATCCCGTTAGTCGCCTCTTACCACAAGCATAGTCACCTTTTACGGCAAGCATGGGTTGCTGAAGACCTATTCTACCCCGGATCTTCATCGGATCATATTGTATACAGAAAATAGTGAAAGCAATCACAGGCTGATCATACAGACCAAGTAACAAGTAACTCAACTGATAATCAATTGTTACAGTGTGATCCTGTGGCCATTCAAGACACAAGGTTTTGCAAAGCATGTGGGGTACACTTGAAATTCTGATGGGGGGTCATCAACAATCATGAATCCACCCTGTGATTCACTGAATTGTTTCTTCTTGTCAGCATGGTCAGAATGTTTAAAGAAAAAAAATGCAAACAAGCATGAAATACTCATATCCCCTGCCAATATGACATGTCCGGCTGTGTGCAAGGCAAGAAATATTGTACGGTTTTCAAGATCTGCTATGGAAAGGAACACTACCACCATTTTCAGTAAAAAGTCAAAGTTGTTGCCATGGAAACTCGAAAAATAATTTTTTCAAAAATCCCAAACTATCAAAAGAAACCAGTTCACCACTAGACCTATCTATGTGCCAAGTTTGGTTAAGATACTTTCTCATAGTTTTTCAGTTCTTCTCCAGAAACGAAACGTGATGGACAGACGGACAGCACCCGTTCCTTCAGGGTGATGGATAACAATGTTCGTAGTGCAAGACTTTTACAGTGTTATGGATATGTAGTTACTTCTAAGAGTGAGTGAGGTTGGCTTAACACCACTTTGAACACTATTCCAGTTATATCATGGCGTGTCCGCTTGATGTGGGAGGAAAGCCCAAAGAAATGCAGGTCTCAGACGTTTACCACTTCACTTCACTTTACTGCTTTGGTGAAATCCATGAGCATGGGTATGGTACTGACAAACCTAGAAACATAACTGGGGCAAACCGGGAATTGAACCCACGATCATGGGTTTCTGGCGTGCCAATGGGATGCAACTATGCACAGCGAATTAAGACAACTGGGCCACCTGTATCCCCTTCAGACAGATTACTTGTCAGAGTTTTTGATAAGAGGTCACACAATCCAGTCTATGTTTACCTTTGGCCTCATTTACGTGAGTGAGTGAGTGAGTGAGTGAGTGAGTGAGTGAGTGAGTGAGTCTCTACAAGACGTTTTGCAGTGGCCAGAGATGCAAGTTTTACAAAAAAAATTCAATTGATCAGAACAGTCAGTCAAAAATTAAAAAATACTACTTTTAATTTATTTCTGATTATTTCCAATCTATATATCTATATTTCAAGAATTGGCAGTGAAAGGTTGTGGTTCACCATTTCCCATCAGAAGTTGCAACATGAGAGTGAGAATTGCACATCCTCGGTACTCAGCTATACCATAAAAATATTAAAGAGAAATGAAGCTGATGTTTGTGGTTTTAAAATGAGTTCATATATTGAATTCCATATGGTTTTGGTCACAAAAGTAATATGTCAGACTTTGACATGGCCGCACCAGCTTACCCTCTATGTCTTGTCCTGATGCACTAGTTCGGCCTCGGGGCGCCGTTGGCAACATTTTTTCCTGCATCTTAAGGATGGAGTCCAGCGTAGACACTCCCGCTGTTGTCACACCTCTCCTTCTCCCTGACCTTTTGGCAGAAGGGGGCGTGTCTTGGGCTGATCAGAAAACATACAGATTAGTTAGAATACAGAGAGGAACATACAAACGTAAAATACATCTTTAATGTCATGTCTGGTGTGAAACTTCTTACTTCAAAAACATTTTAAATTACGATATCTAAACCAAATTAATCACAAATAGAAAAGGACTTGGGTGCTCATTTTGATACCCTTGCACAGTTAATGATATTGTTCAAACACATGTCAGATTTCTGATTTTGAAAATCCTTGACATTTGTTCTATTCCCGAACCACAAATACAGATGTACCCAAAACTCAATGATTCAACATCTGAGTTACAATGTGATATCTAGTCTTCACCAGATGGCCCAAATACAGCTATCATCAACAGCTTATAATATCAAAAGCATCTATTAACTAATGCATTCAGACAACTAAACCATTACCTTGTCATCCTTTTAAAAAAATTGGCCAAGAATAATGCTAACAACATTTACTGAGAAGATGTACTTGATGTGAACATATCTGCTGCTGTGAAGGCAATTAATGGGGAAGTTGACATTGAAAACCCTACTTTTTGTATCCACAGATTTTCCTCAAAGATATTTAAACTTGTGGTCCCACAATTAAAATCTAAATCCTCATAAAAAACATGCGTAAACATCCACCTTCTTTTGTCCCAGGCAACAGACTGAAGTCATCGGTTGATGTCTTGAACATAATAGTGTCCACTTTGGAGGGGCTAACTTCTGTCAACAAAGCAGAAGTTGGGTCCTTGGTCCCATCTTTAACACTGTCTTCAGGTGTCGTAACTGACATACTCCTCGTGACCTTCTCTTTAACTGATTCCTCCTTGTCAGGCTCATCAGAGGCCTTGGATTCTGAATTTGACCTTGTGACCCGTAGTGAATGTCTGTCAGGGCTAATATCGGACTCCGACTCAACGGATGTTCTAACCTGCTCGGTCTTTCGTTTTCTGAGTATCCTTTTTGGAATTGGAAACTCTTTTGACTCCAGAGACTGAGATCGGGTCCTCCTCTTGGTTGCCTCAGTTTCGTGTTCATCTTCCAGGTCAATAATGAGTCCATTCTCGTCATCCGTGCTGTCTGACATGAGATCCTTCCCCACCTCCGTCTGTCTGGTCAATCTGGGGCTGCTTCTGACCGGTGCAACAGCAACTTCGGGACAGGACTTGGATTGAGAACTTTCCGATTCTTTCTTCTTCGCCTGTGACCTTGTTGACCTTGTTGTGCGGGGAGGTGGACTGGATGATTCTGGGAGGTCTATGACCAACGACTCGTCATGCGATGTATCTCCACCGGAGGAACTGAACACAGGAATTTTGGGGACAGCTGTTACTTTCTTTGGCACTTTTAACACATCACAGGTTTCAAGTTTGGAAGTATCAGATTGTTTCCTCCCTGAAGCTCCATCAGATGCTCTGGTTGATGAGGAATTGGATTTACCTCCCTTTAGGTCTACCTTATCACTTCCTATCTGCTCACAAGCATCAACACTTTTGGAATCACTTCTGTGAATCAAAGGTTTGGATGTATCTGTTTTTGATATTCCACTCTTTTCACGGTTGACCATCTTGATTTCAGATTTACCAGTGGAGATTGCAAACGATTCGAGATCTACCAAACTTTCCTGAGTCTTCATTTCCGATTTCTTGGCAGGTTTGCTGAAATCAAATGATCCGAACGTTTCTAAGTCTTCCATGTTGACTTCTTCATCAAAAGGGGTTGTCGATTTAGGTCTTCTGTGCGTGTCTTCCTTTGCAGAGTTTGCAGGGGAGTTGTGTCCGACAAGACGTTGCCCCTTGGGGAGGGCTGGTTGGCTGATGAATGTCTTCAGGGCAAACTTGTGATACATTGTGTTCTTTTCTCTGTTGGTCATCACTTTAGCTGCAAATGGCTTATCAATGTAGACAACTCTTTGCTTGGTGCTGATTTCTCCATCTGAAACATCACTTGAGCATTTAGAATGGTTTGATTTGCTTGTTTTTTAAAGCTGTACTCAGCACTATTCAAGCTGTATGAGGGGCCTGTTAATAGACCAGACAAACCAGTGAGTGATATTGTGAACAATGATCTACGTCAATGGGGTACGATGACACACTATCAACGAAGTCAAAAGCTGTGTTCCACTTGTAAGACAGGTGAGGCGAGGTGAAATTGGGTTTAACGTCGCGTCCAAGATTATTGCACTTATATAGTGACGTGCATGCACGTGTGTCTGTGTGTATGTGTGTGGCTGCTTGTACTAGTCTGGACTGATGCCGATTTATAGTGCTAGCCCACTGAGATACCATGCCACAGTTTAACATGAATACCCCACTCAGACACAGTATACTGACTCCGAGCCGACCAGTCCTTGTTTTAGCCCCTTAATGCCGAGCGCCAGACAGGGTAACAACAAGTACCATCTTTTAACGTCTTTTGGTATGACGCAGCCGGGGATCGAACCCCGGACCTTCCACTCTCCGGGTGGACGCTCTTCCACTAGACCACGGAGGCAATCCTGGGTGTGCATCGTTAATGCTACAATGAGTTTTGATCTTTCTTTTTTTCCACAACGGAAAGACACGGACTTGAGCACGAGAATGTATCACCTCCAATACCATGTCAACAAATCCGTACTGAAGCATGAAAGTTAGTGCTTTTATTACACTATCTGCTTTTAAAAAGTATTCATTGTATATCTGGACTTATGTTTTTCAAAATTTCATTCCATATTGTTTACAAAAATGGACAATGAAAACAAAACGTGCAGCAGAATTTATGATGATGAGAACCAAGCCTAGTGTCAGTGAAATTGTGTGTGAAGTGATTGGCAGATCGCACCAACTCACCATTATTTACAGCAACCACGATAAGATTAGCACGAGTGACTCCTTGACATGAGTGAGTGAGTGAGTATGGCTTAACACAGCTTTTAGCAATATTCCAGCAATATCACGGCGGGGGACACCAGAAATAGGCTTCACACATTGTACCATGTCAGGAATCGAACCCAGGTTTGCGGCGTGACGAGCGAATGCTTTAACCACTAGGCTACCCGACCGCCCCTCCTTGACATGAACCTTATTTCATTGACAATGGATCCATACATAGTAAGCTCCAAACTCTTCATCTTCATCCCCTAGAAGGCGAGGCCTATTTTATATATGGGAAATACGGCAAAAATAGTCACTCATGCACAACCAACAACCAAGTGTTTCTCACATACAGAGATAGACCATTGCTATGTGAAATGTTATCAGGCTCAATACAGCATGAGTGTTCTATGTCCAAGTAACACAATGAAGATGTAAGTAGACTTACAGTCATGTTCGTACTGTTTGATAACAACGGGGATTTCCCAGTCTCGGTCAAACTTGGGGGCGTGGTTGTCGACCAGACACTTGAGAGCGGAGGAACAGGTGACGATCTGACAGCCATGCCTTTCTGCCAGAATCTCAGCATTGGTGTCTCTGCTACATGCCTGCAGTAATACAAACATCAGCTGGGGAGGATAGGTGCAGCACAAAGCTTTGCAGATCATTGTGATGTCATCAGTTACAACGATGTCACAATCAAATGACATCACTAATCTCTCTGCTACTCTGACATTTATAAATTTGGTGGAACCTGTGATGTGATGACATACCAAGAATTACATTCAGGGTGAAACTGGGATTTGAAACCACAACAGTAGGATCCTGGCACACTTAAGGGATGTAACTCTGCACAGCAAATCGCATGACAACTGTGAGCCTGAGACAGTGAATGAATGCCATGCCTGCCTTGTATTCCAAGTGGAATTTTGTTTTGTTTCCTATTTAATGCTGATACAGCAATATTCCAGCCACATGATGGTTGTCTGTAAATAAGTTTGCACCAGAGAAACCAAGGATTAACATTATGAGCATTTATACATTTGAGTTTTTAACCTAATGCATGCATTTCTGTAGGCAAGTTAATTGAAAGTAATTGGGTTTTGAATTTGGGGGGGATATTTTATGCAAATATGCTGCTTATCTGTAGCTCTGAATCCACACTGTCCAGGTACAATAACAAGCAATCTAGAATGTCACCAAGTCTGACCACCCGATCTATCTCGTTGCCTCTTACAAACAGGGTTCCGTTGCACAAGCCACTTTAGCATGATGATTATCGTAAGCCTATGTTAAAGTATGGGAGTTATGATCATCTTAGCGCTAAGGTCACTTCGAGGAATGAGGCCCAGGATAGGTATTCCCTCAGTGATTCCTTCAGTATTCCCTCAGGGCTGGAATTTGGTACAGTACCTCATGATTCCATGCCTTGCTGTTCCTCGTCTTTCTGCCAGTGCTAGGGAACCGCTTGTTGATCTTGTCATACAGCGTTGGCAGCTCAGTTTGTGCACGACTCATGTCAGGCAGGAATATCTTAGGGAAACTACCCTGAAAACATACAATTGGGATCTCAAGGACATCTACACTTACTGTTGCACAAACAGAAAGATGGCGACAATGTGGACAGAGCATCCATCCTTCTGTGATTGCTTGTTGTTTTAGGCCAGCCAACAGCATCCCTGCTACATCCCGGTAAGCTGTAAATATACTGCTTTGGCCAGAACATCTGAGAGGGCATGCCCCGAGCAGCACAGTAGGACCCAGCATCCCTGCTACATCCCGGTAAGCTGTAAATATACTGCTATGGCCAGAACATCTGAGAGGGCATGCCCCTATCAGCAGAGTAGGGTACTGAGATTTACTTGGCTCATATTTAATGACCACGCTCAGTACCACGCTGGGCGCCAATGTAGCGGCCATAACATTTTTGAGTCCCATGATGGGATTCGAACTACGGAGCTTCTGATCCATGGTAGAACACCCGGCCCACATGACCACAGAGGTCAAGACCATCAGCAAGCTGACATAGTAAGGATGTCATCTGTGGGATGACTCCACGCCCTGCTACACTTCCATGACTTGTCTTGATATATTTTACCTTATTCAATGAAACAATGCTACAAACATATATAAAACATTAAGGAAAGGTTGAAGCTCCAAATACTGAATGATGAGTAATGCAGAGCTCCAGATAACCTTTTGAACAATTGAGTTTTTACTCGAAGGTTTCTATTTTCATTGGGTGACCAATATTTTTTCACTCGTCTGTTCATCACTCTATTGGGTTTTTCCCAAACTGAGTGAACATTATAAGATCCACAAAATATGAAATAATGTTTTAGATGTATATAACGGTCCTAAATATATAGGATTGACTCGGAAAGTAAATTAGCTCGTAATTGTGTTTCGGAAATAAGCTTCTTTGTACACATGCTGTAAAAGCTTCATTGGGTATTTATGGGTGCTGTTTTCATACAATTGAGCTTCTTATTTAATGGATGCATTTCTGTGAGCAAGTTAATTGAAAGTAATTGGGTTTTGAATATTTTGGGGGGATATTTTACGTAAATACGCTGCTTATCTGCTGACAAGGTAAGGATGTCATCTGTGGGATGACTCCACGCACTGCTACAGTTCCATGACGTTTCTGTATATATTTTACCTTATTCAATGAAACAATGCTACAAACATACATACAACATTAAGCAAAGGTTGTAGCTCCAAATACTGAATGATGAGTAATGAATCCCTTCTTACCAGTTCCAGCAGCAGCTTCTGATGCACCAGGGTTGGGGCATAGTCTGCATCGCTGGGGACACAGAGGGGTACTGTCTTGTGGGGGACGTAGTACCTTGCATACTGGTCAACACGGCGCCACTGGTAATTCAGTTTCTCCTTAAATAGAGTTTGATAAATTTGTTATGACTTGGGTTGGCAGCTGTAAAGGCTGAATGTTGGCTCCTACACCACTTCAACATGTTTTGTTTGTTTGTTTGTTTGTTTGTTTGTTTGTTTGTTTGACTCCCCACACAGCAGTATTTCACCTACATAATCGAGTCTGGACCACACAATCTAGTGATTGACATCATGAGCATCGCTCCACGCAATTGGGATAAGTTGACATGCATCAACCAAGTCAGCAAGCATGACCATCCGATCCCGTTAGTCGCCTCTTACGACAAGCTTGCGCCTTATACGGCAAGCATGGGTTGGTGAAGACCTATTCTACCCCGGATACATGGCATGTATTGTGCTGTCATGAGAATGTCTATGAAAATGTTGAGTGAAAATGTTGTGATAATGTCTTGCAAGAATTTGAGTGAGAATGTCAAATTAGAATGTCAAGTGAGAATGGAAAGTGAAAATGTCAAGTCAGAATGTTGCATGAGAATATTGTGTGGAAATGTGTTAATGTCATGTAATAATTTGTGTAAGAATGTCAAGTGAGAATGTTGTGTAAGAATATGTCTGAATGCTGTGAAAGTTTGTGTGAGAATGTCATGTGAGGATGGAAAGTGAAAATGTCATGTGAGAATATTGCATAAGAATATGGTGTGAAAATATGTGAGAATGACCACATTTATGCAACCATGTATGGAACAAGGTAGACACAATTTTTATGGATAACAACTTCTTTAATACTGTAGAAAGCGATGTTTCAGTATAGATTGTTATACCGTTGTCAAACAAGACTGACTCTTTACAGTATTAAAGAAGTTGTTATCTATAAAATTGTGTCTACCTTGTCATCCGTCAACGTCTAAGCAATGCCTATCAAACAATTCATGTATGGAACACTATCACAGATATGTATACTCATCACTAAAAGAAACGCGAACCATGGAAACATATCGAGAAGTATGTACGTTAAGAAGAAATGTTTCTATGTCTACCAATTAATGACAAAACTAACAATTTGTCAAGCGTTACCACATATTCTTTATTCTTATCACGACACACTGCACATAATTTCCAAACTTTACACGCTAATCCTGAGACAAATGGTGAATCTCGAGTCATGGATCACATAAAATATGTTCATGATCATCAGTTCACGGTTGGTGCATCGAACCAATCTAATATCTCTTGAAAAGGAGTAAGTCTTCATATATTTACCATCATGTTGGGTATTTGCGTTCCTTTTGATGGTGAGTATATAACCAACAAACCTCTCTCCACTGAGCTGCCAACCCGAGGTGATTAACGTCTGAGACCTGCATCACTTCGAGCTTTCTTACCGAATTAAGCTGACACGCCGTGATATAACTGTAATACTGTTGAAGATGTTAAATCCAACTCACTCACTCTCCACTGAGCTGCCACCCCGTGTGACAGACATGACACTTACATCGACATACCGCCCGGCAGCAGGGACTAGGTGAATGTAGTCCGAGTGTCTGGAGTTGGCAACAAGCTTGGTGTACTTGAGGAAGTCAGCCTGTTCACTGCTCACTCTATGCTGGAGGGCCTATAAACAACGAGGGGGCGTGTCAAACAGATGACCGTCACCACGGTAAATAATGTAATCAAACAACTGACCAGAAGAAATACATTCAAATGAGAGAGTTTTCTTCAATCACACTGTTACAGTCTGAGCCAAAGACTTCTGAGTCTACTGGTACGAAATTGTTATTCGATATAATCAAAAGATTTGTGTTAAAATATGGACCATTATTAGCTGAGAATAGACAATGCATTTGGAAAGTTTGTTCATTTGTTGTTTAACGCCGCACTCAAGCAATATTCCAGCTATATGATGGCGGTCTGTAAATAATCCATTCTGGATCAGACAATCCAGTGATTGACAACATGAGCATCGATCCACATAATTGGGATCTATGACATGCATCAACCAAGTCAGCGAGCCTGACCACCGATCCCGTTAGTCGCCTCTTACGACAAGCAAAGTTGCCTTTTACAGCAAGCATGGGTTGCTGAAGACCTGTTCTACCCCGGATGTTCACAGGCTCATTTAGACAGTGGTCCAATGTAACATATAGATTTGGGATTACAGTTTCTGACTGAAGTACAGTTTGGTGACCCCCATCAGGTATTGGAACCCACACTCTCAGTGACGTGGGTAATTGCCAGCACACAAACTCGTGATCTAACCCACTCAGCCATGGAGGCTTCCACGAAATGGAAGTCCAACAACTGGTAGTCTAGATCACATACTTTGGGTACCCCTCTGATAAGTGTAAATTGGAACGACTCCAGTGGCTGACAATGATGATGCATTTTAGAAAGTGGTCAACATTTAACATATGTTATTTTTGAGATGACACTTTCTGAGTAAAGTACAGATTCTAGTGACTTTGTGTGCTGGCCATTGAGAGTGTGGCCCTGAATCCCAGATGAGACTTCACCCCAAAAGTACAAGAATTTGTTCAAGGTGTAATCCCAAATACAACATGTTACATTTATATTAGCTCAGTGTACTGCACCAAACTGAATTTTACCAACTCAGGCATTCGTCCTTTGGCTGAAGTCACAGACTGTTATAAATATTGAAACTGTCAAAAACATTTAAGGTCAGAATCGATATTTTTTACTTCGTGTGTGACTGTGATCGATACTTGTTTTGAGATGTAAAAAATCTCGATCCACCGATGCATCGGTACATCGTCCCACTACTATGTGAAGCAGCCTGTAAATAATGGTCAATCTTAGTCACTTAAACATGAGCAACAGATTCCTCTCATTGCAGTGTTCTACATTTAGGGGGTACTGGAGTCCTTCAGATTTACTCCTCTATGATAGGAATTTAAGGACCCCCTGAATCTTTAACTTTTACATTAGGGCTATGAAAAGGACCCTCTGACTTCCAGGCTGAATTTTGAACACTGCTTTGTGTATACTGAGACACCATCAGCCCGGTTACGCATGTGGTTTGATTGTTTGTTATTTAACACTGCACTCAGCAATATTCCAGCTATATAGGGTGGTCTGTAAATAATTGAGTCTGGACCAAACAATCCAGTGATTGATATTGTGAGTAACGATCCATGATGTCAATGTACGATGACACGCAAGTCACTGAGCCTGACCACTTGATCCATTAAATGACCTCTTACGACCAGCACAGGTTGCTGGGGACCTATTCTAACCCTGAATCCAAACAGCGACAGGCATTGTGACCACGCATCCCTCTAGTCCATACAATAAGAGCTCGGTTCCAGGGAGCTATTGTGTTGAGATAGGGTCCTACATAAGTGACACTGTACCTCAAACTCTGTGAGTTCCTTGATCTCTGCCTGAGTTGGTTGCTGTGGCCGGTACGACACCAGGTATTTCTGGAACAGCTCCAGGTACCGTCTCTGCTCCTTACAAGTCAGCGAGGATTTGCGACCTTTGGGCTTCTGTGTGGTATGTCTGATGAAGTCAATTGGCCACGATTAATACTTAGATAAAGTGAGTGAGTTGGATTTAATGCCGTTTTGAACAAAATACCAGTTATATCATGACGTGTCAGTTTCATGAGGGACAGAAGCATGAAATGATGCAGGTCTTAGACCACTTACAACCCACAAGTACAGATAATAAAGATGGCTACTCTGTACTACAGTAGCACATAACTTTGGCTGGGTGAAATTAAAAGTTATTTTGAAACCCTGGTCATGGCAAAAACACATCATTACTGCTGGACATGCTCAGAGTTTTTTTAATGCGTTCCCGGGATTTACCTAGACCTACGCTGAGACCGATATTCATCCTTGAAGTTGTAAATGTAAAACAAATTGCAAATAGGAATTACAAATTTCCAAACTCATGTTAACATAGTTGTGACTAATATCATTGGAGCCAGCGGTGGCTTGATTTACACAATTAGAAGGATAAAGAAAGAGAAATGGTCTTTTATACTAAGCTTTACATGATTGCACTCAATGCAATGTTAATTTTATTTTTAAATTCCTCTGAATTTAAGAAATTAAGAACTTTAGTAAAAGTTCCAACATAAAGTTTTTTCTCCGGAATATGCTTGCGAAGCGCACATAGTTTGGAATACCAGATAAGTCCCAGTGTTTGGACCTTGAAGAATGTTTAGGTGAGGTGAAATGGGGTTTAACATCGCGTCCAAGATTATTGCACGTATATAGCGACGTGCATGCACGTGTGTGTGTGTGTGTGTGTGTGTGTGTCTGCTTGTACTAGTCCTGACTGATGCCGATTTATAGTGCTAGCCAACTGAGATACCATGCCACAGTTTAACATGAATACCCCACTCAGACACAGTATACTGACTCCCAGCCGTTTTAGCCCCTTAATGCCGAGCGCCAGACAGGGTAACAAAAAGTACCATCTTTTAACGTCTTTTGGTATGATGCAGCTGGGCATCGAACCCCTGACCTTCCGCAGAAGGGCAGATGCTTTACTACTAGACCACAGAGGCGGTCGAACAATGTTTAAATTCTCAGACTTTACCCTGGCTGAATGACTGCAGCAGATGAGGATGCAGGACTATCCATCTTCAAGGCAGGTGCTTGTTTTTTCTTAGCCTCCCCAGGGTCCTTCCTCTTCGGCCCCTGTGTGGGTACAGCAGTGGTAATCTTAGACGCATGTGCCTGGTATTGTGAGACAACTGGAGTAGATTGGACGTCATCTCGGATTTCACCAAACTTGATTGCGAGTCTTTCTTGTAGGGATACAGTCCCTAATACTCGTGTGAAGCTTTCTTCAGAGAAAAATACTGTTGTGCCATTAATGGGTTCTTTCCTGAAACAGAGATGTTCCTATTACACATAATAAACTAAGAGGTAGACTAACATTTAGTCTCTGAAATCTTATATTACACAATATCCTTCTTGACTCTAAAAAAAAAAAAAATTCCCTATGCTGATTTAGCTAGCTTGAGCTGGCTAGACTTGCTTTTGTATGCATTTCTAGATTATTATTTTTTCATAAAATAAATATATTCCACGGTCATGGTGCAGGACTAACTAAGAGGATGTCAAGGTGATTATTGATCTCATTTCAATCAAAACTGAAATAGTTTCATATTATTGTGTCACTATGTCTTTAAGTAACACAATAATATTTAACTATGTTTATTTAACTTTTTCAACAACGATAGACCCGTGAAGATCCAGGGTAGAATAGGTCTTCAGCAACCCATGCTTGCCGTTAAAGGTGACTTTGCTTGTCGCAAGAGGCGACTAACGGGATAGGGTGGTCAGGCTCACTGACTTGGTTGATGCATGTCATTGACCCGATGGCGTGGATCGATGCTCATGATGCCAATCATGAGTGCGGCAGTAAACAACAAACAAACAAACAAAAATTGCCACAGTGTGAGGATTGGGTGAGTTGGTTTAATGTCACTTTGAAAATTATTTCAGTTATATACTCATCGACAAAAGACCATACATGTTGGTTAATATATGAAGACTTACTCCTATTCAAGAGTCATTAGTTTGGTTTGATGCACAAATGAACCTACAGTTCTGTTGTGTGAACCGACACTCATGAATGCATCACACGTGACGTCATAGATCCATGACTCGAGATGCACCATTTGTCTCGTGCAGGATTAACGTGTGTAAAGTTTGGAGATCACTTGCAGCGTATCGTGATAAGGATAAGTGAGTGAGTGAGTTGGGTTTAACGCCGCTTTTAACAGTATTACAGTTACATCATGGCGTGTCAGCTTAATGTGGGAGGAAAACCCGAAGTGATGCAGGTCTGACGTTTACGACTTCGGTGAAACCCCCAAGCACGGGTATGGTGCTGACAACCTTGGAACATAATCGGGGCGAACCAGGATTCGAACCCACAATCATAGGTTTCTGGCATGCCTAAGGGATGCAACTCTGCACAGCGAATCATGGCGCCTTAGACGACTGGGCCACCCGTGCCCCCTGATAAGGATGGAGACACTGTGGTAAGACTTGACTGATTGTTAGTTTTGTCATTAAGTTGTACACATTGGAAACATGTCTACTTAACGAACACTTCTCTCTACGTCTCTATGGTTCGCGTTTCTTTTGGCTGTGAGTATATTACAGCTTGTCACTTAGACATCTAGCACTTAGGTTAAAGACCCGAGCATGGGTATGGTGCAGACAAACCTAGAATCATTGTCAGGGTATATCAGAGATTAAAACCCAGGGAATGATAAACACAACATTGGGAGGCTGGAATTATGGAGTTATCATTTTGACTGGACTAACAAGTCTATCCATAGACTAATCAAAATCGCGTATTGAAATCAACATTCAGTTCCTAAACTGTCGTGCATATATCGGTAGATTGCAGGATTTGCAAAGCATTACCGCCAACTGAGCATCAACAGATATTTTCCAAATCTTTTCATGCTTATAAACAAGGTGCTCACGTGATTTGATGCACCTCGCCTTGTTCGGCAAGGGTGCAAACTTGACTCTTACAGCCAGTTCACTCCCTTGCCTAGGGAAGATGGTATTCAGAAAGGCTGAGTGACTCCAGCGTGAACTGGTCAACTTAAGCTTTTTTATGTAATGTTTGAAAGGGAAACAAAGTGTTTTACTCATGTTATTTTCTCTATTCTTTATTCTTCTAAACAACAGTACTTAATGAGCAACATCATTCATGCATTTTTTTCAAAATCTCTCTGGAAGCATTAGAAATATGTGATTGGACTAAAGACATATTCAATGTACAATTTACCACTTCTTTGAGAGCAATTTAGAAGTTTGAGTACAGGGCAAGGTAAATGGATGAACAACTTCTTTATTACAATTAAGAGCAAATAGTGGTGTAGGTTCTAACACTGTTATCAAACATAGCTCCTAATTGGCATAAAGAAGTTGTTCATCCATATACCTTGTCCTTACTTACAATTTACCATACAAAACATCTGCAATTTGCTGATTGGACAACAACTCCACTAATGGAGGTATGGGACAAAGAAAATTAGTAATCTTAATCCCAAATATGTGACCATGAAGATATGTTAATTGTTCTGTTGTGTTTACAAGCCCATAGTCAAGCTGTATATATGTTTTTCTTAATTAGATGAGTTTGTTAGCACTGCAGCAGCAATAGACAGTGACATAGCCTAATTACAGTGCAGGTAACCATGGTTACATTACTTAATCCCCAGGCTTATGTTGAAATGCTTGTAAATTGTAAATCTTCCTGTTGGGTGTCAGACAGAGGGTTTAGTTTTGTAATACCTGTCTGCTGGTAACAGACTCTCTGATGACAAACTGAACTATCTTATTAACTGAGAATTTGGAAGGACTGTATTCAGGAACCATGAAAGACTTTGATCACGAGGTATGTACCTAAAACATTTGTGAGATTTAATGGAGTGGGGTTTGCTGCTATAGTACTTCAATCCATGAACCCTCTAAATCTTTAGTTTTGAACTTAGGGGTTATGACAAGGACTCCTTAACTATCCCGCACAATTTCCAACACTGTAAAATGTTAACAAATTTGGGAGGTTATGAAGCTATACCACTGTATATAAATATTGGGCAAACATGTTCCATTGTATCAGAGCTGTAAGATTCTGCTAAACAGAGCCATAACACTAAAATAACAAAGACCTTTCACTTGATCCTTCTAATGATTTATAAATGTTACGTGACTGGGTTATGCTTTGGCTCCATCGGCAATGTCACATTTTTTATTAAATGCATTCATAAACATATTAAGATTTTACACCTGATAAAAGAATGTTAATCTTTGATAGGCATTTAGAACTTGGAAGAACATGTATACATGACACATGTAGTGGTATCCATTACAAAGTTGGGCACGGGTGGCCCAGTTGTCTAAGGTGCCACGATTTGCTGTGCAGAGTTGCATCCCTTGGGCACGCCAGAAACCTATGATTATGGGTTCATCCCAATTATGTTTCTAGGTTTGTCAGCACCATACCCGTGCTCATGGGTTTCACGTCTGAGACCTGCATCACTTCAGGCTTTCCTCCCACATTACGCTGACACGGAATACAGTTAAAAGCAGCGTTAAACGCAAATCACTCACTCATTACATAGTGCCATGCATAGCCTATTGTACACCATGTAGTCTATCAAGCCTATCATGTCATGCCCATTACTGGCAGAAAGTAAAAGCAATTGGTGAAGGTGAGTCATTTATTGACAGAGAGCGATGTGCAGAGTTTGTCCTGACGCAGAAAACCTACATATTTGACGCAAAAAAAGGAGAATATACATGTATGCAAGATTATTTCTCCGTGCCATCAGTCATATACCCGTGATCCTGGAATTCATTAAATTGTTATACGCTGATAGCCTGCCTCCTTGGACTGACTCTCTCCGTTAAACCATGGACCTATATACAAGTCCGTGGTTAAACTCACTTACTGACTTAGGCCTGACTCACATCGTCACCGTACAACCTCAAACATTCTAGCCTAGCTTTGAATAAAGTCTGAAAATTCAGTGCATTTTGTTCCGAAGACAACAATTTACCAGAAACGGTCCATGTCAGGAGAGCATCTGGAGACTGTACATGCTGAAATATACTGAAGTGGCCTCGTAATGCAAATCAGCTGAAATTAGTGACAGCAGACGCTTTCACAACGTGCATCAAGCGTGTTTACATTTTGAAAATAGAAATAGGGATCGGAAACATGTTTTACCGAACAATTGTAGATTCGAGTAGATTTAATGAAAATTCAGATTTTAGTATTATTGCTCTGATTTGATTAACTGTTTGTGGTATATATTACATGAATATACAAGTAAATTATTTCTAAATGGCGCACTTCTGGGTGTCAAAGTTCACTAATTATTTCCGTGTTGAGTTCGCATTTTATACCGTCGGCCGGAAGTCTACTGTGTCCCACAATGCACTATATTTGCAGTAGCGCCATTTGCATCACAGCGTGGTTTGTAGCGTGGTCGTGCAAATTACACTGAAAATGAGTGACAAAGAGGTTTGCAAAATGTCTTTTCTGATTTTATATCATGAATTGGGAGGTAGATAGCAGTAGCGTGTTACCGCTTTCCAGATAGGTTGTGCGATGTTTAGATTGATATGCTTGCTGGTTGTATCGCGTCGTTATTCCGTCGCTTCATATCCCTGAAAAAAATGGAGGAACGATCAGCCTATTTGTTTCGTTAATATAGGCTTAGAAGACTTACTATTGCTTGAAAATTGCAGATAGTGTACTTTGTCTCTTTTCAAGGATACCTTTCCCCTCTCATACAATTATTGGGACTTCCGTTGAACCCACTACAACATCGTGCAAATGGCGTTCGTGTAGGCTTTGCTTGAAACGATTGTAAGACGCTTATCGTGTTTATTGATAAACTTTGTCGTTTAGTATGACGCGACCGGGGATCGAATGGCCGATCAGGACAGATAACAGGGGGCTGCCTCGGTCTTATCCTTTGAGCATGATCATGCCATGATAGTATTGTTATAGATCGACTCAAGCATGTATTTTCCCCCTAATAAAACAGGTTAATTTGTTTTTGTCTTATCTAAACACATTTGTCAATAGTAGACCATGCAAGCTGAATTTTCTCATGTCCTTTAGTGTGTGAGGTGTGAACATCTTGAGATTGCTGAACATACAAATTTGTAGTCAAGAATAATACTTCTGAGTGCATAAGAGTACACATGATTTACTTAATATGTATGTGCATTTAAAGTGAGGACATCAACCGTTCTGAGGCTTTTTAAACAATAGCTGATAATCCACAAGCTTACTTGACACTTGTCCGTGACAGAAATTACTGCTCCAGTTGGGCTCATCATTTGACCAGACTTTTCTCTAATTTGTATACTAACACATTATTCTGAAATCAGAACAGACAGACAAGCCTTTTGTTGCGCTTTACATATTGTTTTGCATAATTATCAGCGTTGGAAATTGGCACTAGTCCTGTAGTCCTTGCCAAACTGTCCACAGCAAGCATAGTCACCTTTTACAGCAAGTATGGATTGCTGAAAACCAATTCTACCTCGTATCTTCACAGGTCACCTTAACTAAACATGCTAAACTGCCCAATAGTTAAGGTGACCCGTGAAGATCGGGGATAGAATAGGTCTTCAGCAACCCATGCTTGCCGTAAAAGGCGTGTGCTTGTCGTAAGAGGCGACTAGCGTTATCGGGTGGTCAGAGCCACTGACTTGGTTGATGCATGTCATTGTATCCCAATTGTGTGGATCGATGCTCATCATATCAATCACGGGATTGTCTGGTCCAGACTCGATAATTTACAGACCTCCACTACAAAGCTGGACTATTGCTAAGTGCGGCGTTAAACAACAAACAAACAATAGTTAAGGTATCACAAGCAGTGTTTAAAATATTTTTAGAACCCAGTAAGACTGACGGGCAAGTGTTCTAAGGATAAGTGGACTAAAAATGTTAGTTTATATCTCTGCTTATATAGCCATACTATTACAACTGACAGTGAGGTGCATGATAATATAGCTTTACATGTCAAAGTGGTCATATTGCTAATTCTCTGCAGGTCTTCTATTACAGCATATGGGGGATAAATATGCAAATAGAACTAGTTTTCATGTTTAAAGTTATAAGTTATGGTTATTTAAATATGTAGGCTCATTTAAAATGAACAAGGAACTCTGTGTAGGAAAGTGGTTGGTTCATTCAAACAAGGCATATTTATCTTGTAATCTAGACTTTGATGAAGGGGTGGGGGTTGGAAGATGTGGTAAATTGCATACAGCGTGCAAGGTTTGAGCAGAAGGTACCCTTACTTGTAGTAGATTTCTGGAGGAAATTGAAGACCAATCAATTTTGCTTAGACTACATTAATACACAAAGATGGGATTTCTATAATACACTGCACGTGACGATGATCTAGTAGTTTTCAGTGGAAAATGTTCCATCCTGTCTAGGAAGCCACATCATCGTACCATTCATGACTATCAGTCAGGGCTTCCAGATCATTTATCTTGATGTAACCTGGATGAATAAGATCCATTGCACTGAATGCCCGAAAAGCACCCATGGTACCATCAGTAAAGATGATCATGTCATGGTACTGCAAACCGGGGGCTTATTGATGGATGAGTAGTCGACCATGCAAGAATAGCAGACATCTTGTGTTATTTAATTTATATTTTTTTCATATTTCTTGTATAAAGCCAGAAAAGCAGTTTTCTAGCTTTTCCGACAGTCCTTTAGTGACACTGTCTGTACTGAACCTGTTGACTTACATTTCTCAAGATTCCCCTTTCAACACGGCCTTTTGACATTGTGTAGACATTGACAAATTGTTCCTTTTATATTTCAGGAAGGGTCTCTACCTGACTCTGATGCGTCTCCAGTAAGAGGGTCACCAAAATCAAGGTCAAGGTCTCCCTCACCTGTCACCAGGTCTAGGTCTCGCTCTCTGTCAGCATCCCGTTCAAGGTCAAGAAGCCCCAGGAGACGCCATAAGAGATCAAGGTTTGTAACACAGTCATATGCATTGCACAATTCAGATTTGTTCATTTTCTTGAACATTGACTGATTGTCATCCGAATGTCCTGAAGATATTGTAAAAATTGGGCATTGGTCATTTTGTTTGTTTCTTATAGTCAATTTCATTAGAATGATCTTACCTATTTCCTTGACTAAACCATTCTCTGCAGAGTGACGTCACTGTCTTAATGTATGTTGTCTGATTTTAGGTCCCGCAGTCGAGGACACCGTTATTCCCGCTCAAGATCACGAAGCCCATACCAAAGACGACGTCATAGAGATAGGTGTGTTTCTTGTGTGACCTGAATGTCATTTAGCAATTTTAGCCAATTTGCCTGATAAACCTACCTTAACTTATAATCTTAATTTTAATTCCAAGCATTTCAAAGTATCCTATATACATTATATATTAACTTTCATCCACACATACACACACCTAATTTCAACTTGACATAGGCACACTAAGTTACAATGATAATATAATTATACACTCTGTGACTGTAACAATTTGACTAATCTTCTCTTCATGCCAATTGTGATACACAACGATAACATTTGGCCTTGTTGCCAAACAAACACCACAAAGTGCATACGGTACAAAATTATGCTTACAAAACAATTACCCTACCTCCCTTCCCTCGCTCTTATCGCACCTGTACATTGTAGCTAGAACGTAATAAACTCTTAATGTTATTGCAGAGCTACAGATAGCAGCGTATTTACGTAAAATCCCCCACCCCCCCAAAAAAGAAGAAATATTTAAAACCCAATAACCTTCAATTAACTTGCATGCATAAATGCATGCATTAAATAAAAACTAATATGTATAAACAGCCCGCGTAAATACCAATGAAGCTTTTTCGGCATGCATACAAAGAACTAATTTCTGAAACACAATTACGAGCAAATATACTTTCCGAGTCCAGCATATATATTTAGAACAGTTATATACATCTAAAACATTATTTCATTTTTTTAAATCTTATAATGTTGGGAAAATCCCAATAGAGTGATGAATAGATAAGTGAAAAAAATATTGGTTACCCAATGAAAAATGTAATAACCAAATTGAAATAGAAACCCTAGAGTTTAAAACTGAATTGTGCCAAAAGTTATCTGGAGCTCTGTTATTATCGCCGATTAGTGTCTTATATCAATAAATCCCGTCAAGTGTGGCAAGGTTTGGAAGGCGCTTGACCGATTATATTTCGCATGTATACTCGGTTGCCTGCTTGTACAGTGGGAACCCATTCCAGCTCTCATGTTTCGTGGATGGACACACATGCATACAGCTCATCTGTTCTACAGTAGAGAGCACATGGTTTTTGCTGCTGCTGCTGTTGGGAGTTATCTCCCTTTCCTTGGTCAAACGCAAGCTCCTCACAGTGATAGTACGTTCCCGGAGCTCTCTATACTATCGCTGCCACCAGTCAAAACTCCACACTGTGAATAGGTGGCCACAACCATGCTTGGAGTTGAACTCGCAATCGAATGACCGTTATGTTTACAAACAAGTGACGACTGTCGTGACGCCGAATACACTTATCGCTGCTAAATTACTTTCTTCGTTTGTCAATTTAAATTTCTGTTTCATTAAAACTATCTAGTTATTGATATAGTAGGAATGTAAGGGAGAAGTTGGTTGATTTTCCGTTAGTCTGCAATCTCGAACCAATCTGATTATCAAAACAACAAAGTAAATTCATCTGGAAAAGATGGTCAGTCGTAAAGCTTTTCAAATTGAAATATGATGGCATTCCCAAAGACATAAACAAAAGTATAAACATTACTACATATGGGGTTGGAGGGCAAATTTCAAGATTCTTGTAATGGCCGCGCCCACACTGGTGGCAGTGATGTTACCGAGAGTGTAACGAAGGTGTCACGCGCTGGGAAGGAGCTTGGGTCAAACGTTGTCTCTGCCTTCCCCACCTGGGCCCACTTGCACAAAGCGATCTTAGCGCAGCTACTATTGTAAGTCTATGTTAAAGTATTGGGGTTACGATCAGCTTGGCGCGAAGATCACTTTGTGCAAATGGGCCCTGGCATTTTGTTTCCTAACATTTCTTTTCTGTTATTCTGTTCCATAGTACATGACAGGTCAGCTGATAACATTGTATCTTAATCTAACACATCCAAATTTTGTAATATCACGTTGACAACATACTAAGTGAATTAATTTAGCTAAATACATCTTCAACCTGTGCAGCGTTAAACAAAAACAAACAAGTTATGATCATCTGCTTGTTGCCTTCATTGGAGATATGATGACTTTTATTAAAGGTTTTATGTCCGAATGGCACTTCTATTTGATGCAATATTGAAACTTTGAGATTCTGTGTTTCAGCCACGGAGGAGAACGTTCAAGTGGACGAAGGTATGTTTTAGAAATGTTATGTTTTGTAACTGAACTGGTCGTAAAGATGTTGCAGTGACCATGGTGACAGTGTTTATCTGCATTACAACTGTATTTCTAATCACTAACTTCTACCAGAATAATGGTACGTTTGCAGTATACCGCTTGGGACGAGGAAGACTTAAATAATTTGCAAGAGCTCAAAATAGCAGTGACAATGATGCATCTGCATACACTTTTTCAATTTTATTTTACTTCTCGTAATTTGATTGGTCATTTCATTTGTATATAATATATAACATCAATGGCCATAAGCGAGGTTATATTCAAAGTTAACTGACATTGCTGGATCTGTTGACCCCTTGTATACACATCCTTGTCAATTCCAGGCGTCATCGCAGTCATAGCCGATCACCCATGTCATCACGGAGAAGACACCAAGGGAATAGGGTGAGTTTTTTTTTAAATTTCAACAATAGATCACTGTTCTTCCTGGTCCAGACTGGATAATTTCCACCATTATTTCAGTCGGGTGGTAACATCAAAATGAGTTGTATGATGTCAATATTGACAATGCGGTGTAAAACGAAACCTTGTAAAGCTTGCCTGGTTTTCTTTAGGGATATCCACATGTTAGTTTGCTGTGGTACATGGTTTAAATGTCTTGTCATATGTTTGAGGGAAGTATTACGGTGTAAAAAATACTTGAACATAAATAGCAACACTATGTTTAACATGTTTAACGGTTGTCGCTTTTTCTGAATACATATTGATAACCCACTCAAATTATTTATTATCATAAAGTTTGTGTTTTATGTAATCATAGTACAAGTGAGAAAATACACTGTTTTCAATGTGGAGCGAGGGCATCTGTAGATTTAGGTGCTCTGAATAAAACATTTGAAACCTTGTGCTGCACATTCGACTGCAAATTGGTCTTTGCATGGTTAAATCTAAAGGTAACCCAGCACAAATAACAGTGATGTAGAGCTGCCGATTACTGTCTCCCCTCAATCACTCCATTGCAGGATGACCCTGAGCCAACAAGATGTCTGGGTGTATTTGGTCTGAGTCTGCACACCCAGGAACGAGACCTGCGGGAGGTGTTTGACAGATATGGGAGTGTTGAAGAGGTTCAAGTTGTCTATGACAGACAGGTGAGATCATTCATTCACCACCATGTCAAATGATAATGTGGTGGTTTTGAAATTGGATAGGGACTCTTCAACAATGACAATGCTTCAAGCTCACTGTTTTAGATATTGATGTGCCCATTCCTTCGCTCGGGTGATAGATTTGAGGTTCTTACAAAATGTGACTTAAACTTGTCAGGTGTCAAATACTAACAAAGCCCTGTGGGATGTTTACAATTGAGACGTTGATAATCTTAATTTGAATGATTTGATATGATTCGCTTAAGCATAACAATGTTTAACATGCATGTTCATTTTCATAGTTTGTGGTATATAAGTTTCTTTGCAAATCTTGCTGAAATGCCTGAAAGTTGTCTTTGGTCTTAATCCGATGTTCCTTTGATTCAGAGTGGCAGATCTCGAGGCTTCTCCTTTGTGTACTTCAAAAGTGTGAACGATGCTATTGAGGTAGTCATAGTCAGCTTATTTAAGGATATTTTCTACAAGCTTGTTACAATGCAAAACAGAAAGTTGATGTAGTATTGTGTGACTTGTAAACATGCCATCATACTCGGTGGTACCTTTAAACATGTTAAAACAGTTCTTGAATGACAAAGTAGTTACAGATTTTCTGCACAGTACAGGACGCTGGCTTATGCTATCAATATATATATGTTCTTTTCTCAAAAATAATATGCTTTACAAGACTAAAGCCACATCAATGTCATGTGTGATTATATAACAAGGATTGGAAGATGTATGGATTTATTTCCAGAATGACTCTAGGTTTTCACTAACAATCTGCTGTTAGTACTGTCAGATAAAAATGTGATAAATGATTCTAAAATGATTTTTTCGATCACCAACTCCGAGGGACATACCCTTACCGTTGACTCGTACTGCTCTAGGCCAAAGACCGATGCACAGGAATGGAAATAGATGGACGCCGTATCCGAGTGGATTATTCTATCACCGAACGTGCCCATACCCCAACTCCCGGCATCTACTTAGGCAAACCCACAACCAGAGGGGAGAGAGAGAGGGAACGAGGAGGAGGTGGTGGTGGTGGTGGAGGAGGAGGTGGTGGGGGAGGAGGAGGAGGAGACCGGTACGACAGAAGTGAACGCAGTGAAAGAAGCGATCGCGGTGACAGATATGACAGGTGAGTGATCTGTACGGTATTTGTTCTTTGCAAGTAGTGGAGATGTTTAAAGATGTGACACTGGTTATGTTTAAGTTGGTAGCGGATCAGCAGAAGTGTAGGAACATCGTGAAACTGTTTCTCTGCTGTGAATATATATTTCTTTATACTTCCTAGAGGCATCGGATAGATATGCTCTAAGGTAACCTTTCAAAATTCTGGTTAGGATTTGTAGGATTATGGTTATAGTGTTGGCTATATAGATGGTCGAGGTTGGACTTCCCACATGGAAATAATGAGTAATGATACTTGTTGTCCCCTTCAGGGATGAGGGGCGGTCGGGTAGCCTAGTGGTTAAAGCGTTTGCTCGTCACGCCGAAGACCCAGTTTCCTTGTCCTGGGTACAATGTGTGAAGCCCATTTCTGGTGTCCCCCCACCGTGATATTGCTGGAATATTGCTAAAAGCTGCATAAAACCATACTCACTCACTTCAGGGATATAAGCACCAGCTAAAATATTTTCATTCACATAACAGCATAATGCCTAATACAACCTCTGCCTTAATAAATATATTGAATCTTTTCAAAGCTATTGACAGTGATGCTTTGATGCAATGAATCGGGTTTGAATGTTTGTTTTGCTCCTTGTCATCACCAGCATATCAAAAAGCTTTATTAACATTTACTTGATCTGGATTTGTGATTTGAAAGTTTTAAAACTTTATCTCATCGCTAATTTCAACAATAACGTTGGCAAGGTATTTTAATCAGAAACACTGGGCAGATTGCTTCAGACGACGGACCAACATTTTCCTTTTGTTATTAAAAACTAACACATTTTTTCCAAAATAGAAATGGACAGAACAGTCATGGAGGCAGTTCTTATGGATACAGCAAGTTAGTACACAATGAAAGAATCATGAATGGAGATTACCTCCCCTGTAATGTTTAATTTTGGAATTTTAGCTATACCTTTGTGGCTGCATATGAAACAATGGAATTGATTAATACAAAGTAATACTTAATTGACTTCATAGCAGAATAAAGATACATTTATAGCTTAAAACATACAGCTGTGCCTTAGAAGCAAGTAATTTTTAGCTCATGCATGTATGGTTTGGTAGCAGCTATGTAACAATTCCTACGCACTCATAAACAATTCTGATCTTGTATATCATATGTGGCACCCTATTGCTTTTTGGGGTTCACTCACTTTTTTTTCAAGACAGTTTCTAATTTCTGTTTAATTATTGGTAAATGTCTGTATATTTTTTTCAGGCACTACTCTGATGACAGATACAAGTAAGTCTTGATTTGGCATCCAGTTGGCACAGGCAGTGAAGGGGTCTTGGGTGCCCCAGTTCGCTGTGCAGAGTTGTATCCCTTGGGCATGCAAGAAACCGATCATTGTGTGTTAGGATCCTGGTTCTTGGTTTGTCAGCACCATACCTGTGCTTGTGGGTTTCAGCAAAGTGGTAAACGTCTCAGATCTGTATCACTTCAGGTTTTCCTCCAACATCGGAATCCCACATTGCAATCGCCACTTCTTCCTGAAACATTTGTGAGATTAGATGAGCTTAGTAACATATATCTACCAACATGTGATACAAGCTGGTGATTAGGTGTTTAGCCAACTCTATGAATACACATGACTTCACACAGTTCCATTTTTTTTATCTGGAGACTTAAGTTACTTCTGTCACAATTTTACCTTTTCAAATTTCTTATATATTTTCTTAAGAAAAAAGATGTTGTCAAGCTAGTTGGTATTCTTGTCAGTGAGAATTTACAGTAACTGTTATGTTTTAGTAACTTATTAACATTTTTCCCTTTCCAGTCGCTATAGATCACCTTCTCCATATCGGAGAAGATCGCCTTCCCCTTACTACGGTCGCCGACGATCGCGATCCAGGTCCAGATCAAGGTCCTACACCCCTCCGCGTAAGTATAACTTCTGATGTGTTTGTGAACATTTATAGAACAGAAGACAGCTATGTAATGTGGTTATCCTTTTGAAGAGACTTTATGTGATGAATATCACAAATAAGATTCATATGCACAGCCAATGTGATTGACTTTTTTTATGAAAACTTTCTAAAACCTGTATATGGTTTTTATTTGCTCTATATATCTGCCAGACATGGAATTTTGACATTTATGATACAACCACTAGTATGAATAAATCACGCTTTCAAGATTCTCTCACCAGCTACCTTCTCACCATACTTGCCATTGCGTCAGTACTAAGATTAAGTTTCCAAGCCACTGTAAGAATTCCAGATATTGTCTGTGTCCGATTTGTGGCATCAGTTTCCTTCCATCTGTCCTTATGTTTATATAGGCGTAGTATCTTCAGCACATAGTTATTATGTTGATATGTTTTGATTATTGCACTGTCAACATGTTTCTTTCCCTCTCTTCCCCGTTCTAGGTCGCTATTAAGGAAAGCTGATCATCCGTACCATGTGACCCAAACATTTCATTTATCATGTTCCGTGTTACACTTTTAGACATTGTGTTGTTAGGGATTGTAGGAATGGGATTGTATATCTTGTACAAAACATGCAGTTTAGTGTTTTGCTATGTATTAGTGTGCGACATTAGCGATAGACCAATAACCAGGTTCTTCAGTGATTTGTGCAGTTAGAAGAAAGATTGGAAAGATCCAGGACATTTAAATCAGATTTTTTGCTCTGATGTCATACCTCTCTGCGTGAAGATCTCATGACACCTCCATTGATGGGTGCATCTGGTCAACTGTAAGCGAACATTGGCAACCCAAACCATGAGTTCCATACCAATTTCTTAAAAAAATCTGTCTTCACTTCTTTCCTACCTGGATCTGGAAATTTCGAATAGTCCAAGACAAAGCCCTCACAGAACACGGATATTCCTCTTTGGGTGGATATGCCATGGTGATGTAACAGTGTATAATATCCACCTATAAGGTTTTGGTCTTTCGGTGCTTATGGAAAATCAGATATGCCGGTCTGAATGGTTTGTTCGCTCATAAAATGTTTTCGAAGCTTCTACGCTGATCATGGCTCAGTCGAATTCATTTGAACTTACCTATTGAGTTTTCCTAAGATGTTTCACGCAAAAGGTGAACGATTAGATTTTAAGGATATTGGTCAATTTTCTTATTGGTTTTCATATTATCTGGGACTGTTATTTTTATGACTTGTCACAAAAGAGGACAACGCTTTCATTGTTATATATACTACTCAAAAGAAGTTAAAGAAAACAGTGTTTTCAAATGACTATGGTTGATCTGACATGAAAAATTACTATATACATTTATGAAAAATTGTGGTCTTTAACTTCTTTTGAGTAGTGTATATATATATATATATAAACTATAACTTGTAGCTTACATCAAGTTCTAGCAAAGGTGGTCAGTTAATCCTGCTGAGTCAATCATTGAATGAGTGGGGTTTTCAAGATTTGCTCCTGGGCTGTAGCCTGTTGTAGGGAATCCTAATCTCGCACACTGTTATGTATCACTGTCAATTTAAATAGGATATTTTTCAATCCACATCAGGAAAAATTGGATTGTTTCATTTTATGTAATCTTGCACGTTGTTCGGACATAAATAATCTTCATGATTTGAGCTGTAATGTTTTAATGTTAAATGTGGTGAGTACAAAAATGACTTTGGAATTGCCAGATGTGATAACGAAATCAGGTTTATTTTTGTTTTATTGCACTCATTGTAATTAATGTTTTCATGTCCCAAACAATGTGTAAGGTCCACATTCTTAATATTCCATCTTGACTATTTCCATGTCCAAACTAACGTTATCACTTGTGAAGTGTTAATTAATGATGGTTTTAAAAGTGGAGATTGTCTTTGTGACATTCCACAATGTGAGATTACAATGTTTTCTTGTGTTTTGAAGACAATCACATGTAACCTGTTAGATTGTTAGGTCAATCCCAGCTGTTTTATTGTCATTAAAGTTTTGATAACCATGATCAGGATTTTAACTGTAACCAGGCAATAGGCAAATATGCTACTAAGGAGAAATAAAAGAATGCCCAAATTGTTTCATATGACAAAAGAAAAACTGGTATGACAGACTAACTTGTCATATGAAATAATTGGTCATCTTTCATTTCGTTTTGAGCAGCATATTTGTCTTCATACAGTGTCTTCCGAAATGATTTGCTTCAAGTTTTAGGATTCATATTTAGAAAGATGTCTGTAATTTGTCATCTATCAATACACACATATTTGACTAAGTGTCAACAGGGATTTATATAGGCTTTTTCAGAGGTAGATATTTGGCCCCAATTCTGGAACATGTCGGTAAAATTCCAAATTTTGTATTATCCTTCCAAATGCCTGTTCATTTTGTTATAACTAATGTATTAGCCTTGTGAGGACTTACGCTTCACTGATAGGGTCAATAAGCATGATAAATTTGGAAAAAGGCTTCAGTGCTTAGTTTTGGATTATATCTATGAATGCAATGCTGCAAATTCCAATATTTCTCCAACCTGCCTACCAAGTACTTAATTTAGGAGTCCTAGATATACCTCTGATCTGGTTGTAATGCTTTGATGCCTCAATGACCACTGTTGAACTTGTTGGAACCCTGATCTTGCAGAAGTTATCCAAACTAATATTTTATCATTCAGCTTTTATGCAAGATAGTTCATGAATAATGGAGGAATTTCATTGAAAATGTTTGTACTTTGAAACAGGATCTTGATGCTGTAAACTTGTTGTTTCTCTGTTTATATTATTCCAATGTAGCTCACTTTTCTTATGTGTTAAGGTAATCACAATATGACATGCTATTTGTTTTGAGTCATAGTGTATTCTATATTTGTAAATAAACTGAAATGCTTCAATTGTCAAAGACCATGTTTTAATTCTGTTTCTTTGTATTACTGAAGGTTTTGAAGAAAGAAACATGAAGTATTTGAAGAATGAAACATGAAGAATAGAAAACTGAAGATAGAATAGCGAAAATTGAAGATATTGAAAATTGAAGATAGGGGGAAGAAAAATGAAGGGTTGAGCCTTGAGGTGATGAGGTGTGCTATTAGGGCAGAGGGGCATGAGAAATAGGAGTTTAGAAGATGGAAGAAAGGTGAAGATAGAATGAGGGCCGGCTAGGCTCATGATTTGGGGGATGGAGAAGAAATACATCCTACCTTGGGTACGAGCTTTCACTCTTACTGTCTGTAATCCTCACTGTCTTCTCTCTCCTAGCCATCTTGAAAGCCTGATACTGCTGCTGACACAATTGAGTTAATTTAGAACTAAGGGAACACTGGTAAGTAATGATACCTAAATAAACCAGTGTTGATTCTTATAGACTTGAAATGTAGCTTGTATAAAACAAGATTCACTTGTCATGGGTCTTTTTAGATCTAAAAGGGCTATTTTGAAAGTGCAAATAAGTAGTATTACATTCTCAGAAACATCACTTAATTTGTACTGATGTTCAGTATTGACTTAACAAACATCGATCTTGTGCAGATTCTATATTCAGTAAAACGATGCTGGAAGCAGCAGTATCAGATTTCTACCTCTGTCGCAGACTGCTTGTGTAACCTCCTGTGTCTTGTCACTCCTCTTCAACGTACTTTACTGTGGGTTTGAACTAAGTATGGGAAGTGAAAACCTAACGCCTGTCTGGCTCAACTTGGTATCTCAATTCTTTTGCAGCATGGGGAAGTACTTGTTGCCCATAGAATCATATTACATCCTTCATAATCTTGAAATTCTTATCTGGAATGAAGCCTCTTTTACCCTTCTAGTAATGACATGAGCTCAAGAAGAAATAATCCTGAATGAAATCTAGGAAGTCCATACCGCAAAATGTCCTTACTGCAAAGATGAGCAATTTCTCTTTACTTAAACCTAAATAATGGTATTATAAGCAATGAGATAACAAAGGTAATTTCTCCTTAACCCCAGTATGTCTTTGGGCAATGCTCCAGACATGTGACGATCTAGACCTTAGCAAAGCATCAGCCAGATCTAGGTCTCTTGATTCTTAAACGTTTTCCATGTAACCTTGGTTGTGTTGAACATAAACTCGTTTCGAAATTTGCAGGTACTTTTACACCCTCTTCCTGAAAAAGATTTTGCGGAAAAACAATGTGTTTGGAGTTGCGTCCCTTAACCTTTGCTTGCTGTGTACCACTGTAGTACCCCTGACACTTTTCATTAACCGCTTGGTTTAGGAAGATGTATTGAAACACAGGAATCGCGCAGGTCAGGGTAAGGTAGGGCAGAGTATTTCCTTGAAGGAAAGGTTATGAATTTGTATTTTGATAGGGTAAATTTGAAGTTTGAGTGTAAACTTTAAGAGTAAATGTACACGGGTTACTTTTAAAAAAATGCGAAAAACTCTTAAATATTTTAAGAGAAACGGTTACAGACGATGCAGTGATTGTCTGAATATTTTTTTAACTTTTCTGAACTTTTCTAATGCATGTTATTGTTTAATCCCAATTGTAAGTTGACATCAGGAAACTTTGAGAAATCTGCCTTCTCATGTAAGGTAGTTCTTAGAAACAATGGGAAGAAATTGAGGAATAGTGAATGAACTTGTTTCTTTCTTCATCAGTGCAAAGGGTTGAGTTTTTTTATTAAAGACTTTCAGGACATCATCACACATCATTGTGGCTACCCTGATCGTTCAGGGATTCATCTGGTTGTGGTGGTGGTGGCAGACTTGTTGGTTCATGCTGAAAACCAGAGTTTCTACATTTTTGGTGTACCCTGTTATGATATTGCCCCCCGGACATAAAACACCACTGTCACTTTATCTAGATCTCTCAAGAGCCGATTGTAAGTCGCCAACACAAATATCTAGTGATTTTCATTTCTCAATTCGAGGATGAATAGTGCAGTTTTTCAGTCAATTTGTCTCTCGGATATCTCAACTCTTTCTCAAATTGATATTTAGAGGAACAGCTTTGTAGTTTATCCTTTCGTCAGGACTTACGACAGCAAGAAATGTCTTAATGTTTGGCATACAAGTGCATTTAAACTTCACATTAAAAACTTTATCACTCTCTGGAACAATTTGGCACTTAACATCCTCTGTTATATTGAGAGGCGGTGGGACAGCTCTGTAGTCAAAGCATTTGCTTGTTATTTGGAGTAAAGTTTAAATACTTGTTCTAAGAGTGGGAAAATGTTAAGGTTTTTGTTCACTGGGCCAATTTTGCAATGGGTGAATGGTATATCTTTGTTACGCTCCAAGCAATTGTTTGTGCTGGAAGAAGGAAGCATATTTGTGGAGTCATTGTTTATTGCTGGCAAATGTTGTGTGCAGGGTTTAAGGCATCTCAAACTAACTTTTATCAAATTTCATCTCATAAATGTTCAGGATTTGAGTTAAAAATATCCAAAATGCTACTTGGTAAGTGTGAGGTTGCAGTTTCTAACAAATTTGTATCAAAATTTATCTTGTAACTGTTTAAGTATCTACATTTATTACCTAAAAGGATTTAGTTTTCAAATTAATTTCAGCACATCCAAAATTTATTACTGATCAGCATGAACTATTTTGCTTTCTTTTCAACATTGCAATATTAGCATCAGTACAGCATTTGTGATTACACAGTACAGCATACATTGCTGCCCCTGTGTTTCCTTGTGCATACAGTAGCTGCACTTGAAATCTGGGTTGAATGTACCTCTAGTAGATGCACATGCATGCACTTTGTTTCAGCTGATGATGGTAAGTAATCAATGGCTGCACAACCTCTGGGGCTGTAACTAGATCGTATGCTCAGGTTCAAATAGCATTTGGCTTACCTTTCATTCCTGTCTTTATGGAAAACATATGACAGTTATTTATCCAGTTACACAAGAATTTTCAGTATTCATTCAGTGAGTATTGATAATAATCCTTCTGATTTTTGTCTGAATTTGGATCTATTGGTCTTCATCAAATTTTATTCTGACATCAAGAATGTGTCGGGAATTGGATGAATAGAATGTTCATTTTCAGCTGCTGTTGGTTTAAAAGTAAGTATGGTAAATATACGGAAGAGGGACCAAAAAGAAGACCACTAACAACCTGGAGAAGGCACCTGGACGGATGCAGACACTGTGGACACCTCCGTGATGGCAGCTACAAGTAATGAAGATAAAACTCGGCAAGGGTTGAAACTATATATTCAAACTGCGGCATTTTCCTAAAAGTCAGTCATTTCCAAACAAAAGTTCACAAAAATGCTATCAAGGCTTTCTTTTAGCGCCATTTTTAAATTAATCTTTCTTTATCTTGTGCCCAGTTTGATATACAGAAGTTGTTGTCAGTGACTGGCATCAAGTTGTATGTCATACATGCTCAGACAATAAATGTGATGAAATTGATAGAATTTGTAGATTTTTTCCTTTCACCAAGAGGTATGTGTAAATGTGGCAGTTTCATGCCTGAAGGGCCGATGGGGTGTCATTAATGCATTCTCATCCCGCCAAAGACCCATGTTCATTTCCCAACATGGGTATAATGTGTGAAGCTCATTTCTTGTGTCCCCTACCATGGGGCACAGGTGGCCCAGTTTATGACAACGCAATTAGTTGTGAAGAGTTGCATCTCTTGTGCACTCCAGAACCCCATGATTGAGTGTTCAGACCCTGGTTGGCCCCGATTGTTTCTACGTTTGTCAGCACCATAGCCGTAATCGTAGTTAAACATCTGAGATCTGCATCAATTTGGACTTTTCTCCCACATTAAGCTGACATGCCCTGATATAACTGGAATAATGTTAAAGCAGCGTTGAACCCAACTCACTCTTAAAAATATAAGAGTCACGTGTATTTAAGAATTGAGAGTACATTTTTGTGTTTATCGAAGTATTAACACAAAAATATATTGAAGTCCATTCTTATGAAGTCAACAATTTTAGACTGCGTGTGCAAGCATTGACAAAACTGGAGCACAACACAAGATCAGGAACATCTTTCAGTGCAACAAGCCCCCACACTCTTCAGCCAAAAAGGAAACGGGCGAAGGCTAAAGTGTTAAACAAACGCAAAAACGATTCCTTCGTTAGCCAATCAAATGCCTTCGAATCACTTTCAATTCATTATATTTTACCTGAATATATTTTTATTTTAATGTTTTTTGGTGACTTGTATACCATTGAAATGGGAAGTACATGTTATTTAGAAATTGATTAAGATGGCCCATGTAAAACGTTACCACTCGAGCCAAGACAAGGTGTCGATCGTATCCCATGTGTGGATCGATGGTCATGATGTCAATCACTGGGTTGTCTAGCCCAGACTCGATTATTTACAGACTGCCGTCATATCGCTGGAATATTGCTGAGTGCGGCGTTAAACAACAAATATACTCGTTAGATTCGTTTTTTTAGAAACGAGTGGCTTTTACTCGTTCACATTCGTCACCACTCGCCTCTTTCCGTAACCTGCTTGTCCCGGAATAACACGAGTTGGTCACGAATGACTCGTTCAGATACGGTAGAAAGTTCATGAGGAACTATGTGACGGCGGTCTGTAAATAATCGAGTCTGGACCAGACAATCCAGCGATTGACATGAGCATCGATCCACGCAGTTGGGATACGGTGACATGCATCAACCAAGTCAGCGAACTGACCACCCGATCCCGTTGGTCGCCTCTTACGACAAGCATGGGTTGCTGAAGACCATATTCTAACCCGAATCTTCACGGGACCTCCAGGCAGTGAGATAATATGCTTGTTTCACATCTCAAGCGACACTGTTTTACCAAAATAATGGCGCCCGCAGCTGTGTTCCAACATGAGTAATTACAAAAAAGATTTGCAGCCTTCTAATTCACTGGCGTATTTGTCTTTTCCCTAACGCCAACATACAGTGTCAACAGGCAGTTCAGCATTGCAAGAAAGCACAAAGGCTAATTGACATGTTGAAGTTTGTCATATGTTTAGACTTTACGAAAATGTTGCACTACTAGCAGGTTATTGTGACTCCCGTAACCGTTTAATCAAGACTGGAAATGCAATGATCACTACAACAAAGGACAAACACCAGCCTTCGTCTACAGTGGCACATGAAAAGACTTTCAGTGTCCCTACAAAAAACAAAACAACTGGGGGAATAGGTCACTGACAAAAAAAACCCAGTAAATACACCACACAAAATTTCCTCAACCCCCAACACCGGTTATTGTACACATTTTGTTGCTGCGATAACCATAGCCTTGGCGTAACTATGATGTAACTCGCTTCTGATAGACGTTCAGACGCTTTGGACTTCCAATCGCTATGTAATCTGATTAGTAGTGGTGACACACGTAGACTGAAGGCGAACGTGCATCCGCCTCTCCAAAACCAGTGTCCACTACAATCAGTCGGGTGATATCCACAAACACTCAACACACTCTTCAAGGCCTTCACAAATGTGCCATAGGTTAAGTGATTGACCCTATCTTCGTCTCTGTAAGTGAACAGGTTGTGATCACGTGACAAGTCGCTCTGCAGGTCACCCAACCTCTTGAGAGCGGACACCTGACATAGTGGCGATCCGGGTAATGCAAACATGGGTTAGGTTGACTTTCTGGTGAAGGTGAAGAAGTCTGTCACACATGCAGCCCCAAAAGCTACATTAAAGCGACAGGTCATGTCTAGCGGTTTTCCTTTCAGTCGGAAAACCCCTTTCTTGACAAGGCCCAGTGACCAGTCACACAGTGGGTTGTCAATCCCAGCCTCCAAATGGAAAAATCTCACAACGTTGAGATAGCCAGGTTTACTGTTAGCACTAACCGACCTGGCGAGGAAAGCACAGTACCGAAGTAACGTTGATCCATTTACTGGCACCGGAGTGAGAGCGAAGTACAAGCAGAAACGGAAGTAGGTCTTCACCATAGATGTGTAGGCCTTCCTAGTGGACATGGCGCATGCTGACCTCTTGTATGGTCAGGCTCGCTGACTAAGTTGAAGCGTGTCATCGATCCGAATTGCGTGGATCGATGCTCATGATGTCAATCACTGGATTGTCTGGTCCAGACTCGATTATTTTTCACACCGCCGTCATATAGCTGGAATATTGCGGAATGCGGCGTAAAACGACAACCCAACCAACCACTGTCTAGGCGCTGCAGTTCTGTGCCCACTGTTCCTGCGGGTATAGTATGAAACATGCTCAATAAAGTTTTTCTCACCCTGAAAATTTAACAGTGTTCGAAATACCTGCCTGCCCGACCGTCCGAGACGGGTTGATTTCAACTCGGGCTGCCAGATTTTCAAATCCCCCTGCCCGACGGTCGGGTTATGTTTCATATGTGACAATATTCTAAATATTTCCCGATGATAATCATTAATTCACATGTAAAGATGAATGATAAAATGTAACCAAAAAGAAATCCCGTTAGCTTATCCTGAGAAACATATGATTATGGTGGGCAGGCAGGTTTTGGTCAGGGCTGGCAAGTATTTCAGCTTGCCAGTCCTGTGGTCTGGCTGAAATTTTTTGGAGTTTCATACCCTGAATTTAACCACCTGTAGATTTCAATTTGGTGCAGACGTGAGATTCTATCCCTTATCACATTCCTCACACCCGGGATATGTCTAGATGAAATCCGTACATTGCTGATAGCCAGAAGAGACTACAAAGTATACACATGATCATTGTGTTGGGAAGAGTGCGCATGGCTTAAATTGTTGATATCTACTCCAACCGTCATTAAACGCACCGCCGCCAGTTTCGCACGCGTCAGTTGAAAATGCATCATATGATATTGGTTCCCCTTTAATTGTCCCGTTAAAGGCCCCACAGAACTCAGTCCACCATCGAATATCTTCCCTCGCTTGAGGTCCGAACGTCACGTGATGGTGTTTACGTTTTACAGTAGTACTGAGGTCAATCAAACGCCTGACGAACGTGCGCCCGCAACGTACTGCACGTGCGGCCCAGTTCAATTTATCGATTTGGCTGAGCAATTGACACTTTGTTGTCTTATTGTCACCAATGTTATGTAAACAATGCCGAACTCGATCAGTTTGTCTTGTGGATTTGGTTGTTCGCAAAACAATGATCGAACAGTCTTCTTTCATAAGTAAAATGTGTTTTTTAAAACAGTGAAATCGGTTTAACAAAACATATGGAGCTCTATTGCAAAATTTGCTGAAACTGAAAATAGTTCCCTGAACAAGTTTTATCACATATGATTAATTGAGGTTTGGTCCAATAACCCATTAACAACAAATCACTGTACCTACACTTGCTGCACCAATAAAACGTATCAGAAATATTACCACTCATCTTGTTTCAATCTGAACAATGACAAAGTATCACAAATGTTCTTTCTGAATAAGACCGCCTCCGTGGTCTTGTGGTAGAGCGTCCGCCCGGAGAGCGGAAGGTCCAGGGTTCGATCCCGGGCCGCGTCATACAAAAAGACGTTAAAAGATTGTACTTGTTGTTACCCTGTCTGGCGCTCGGCATTAAGGGGCTAAAACAAGGACTGGTCGGCTCGGAGTCAGTATACTATCTCTGAGTGGGGTATTCATGTTAAACTGCGGCATGGTATCTCAGTGAGCTAGCACTATAAATCGGCATCAGTCCGGACTAGTACAAGCAGCCACACACACATACACGTGCATGCACGTCGCTATATAAGTGCAATAATCTTGGACGCGACGTTAAACCCAATTTCACCTCACCTCACCTTTCTGAATAACGTATGTCCTCAACATCGATCTATGAGCATTGATCTACGCAATTGGTATCGATGACATGCATCAACCAAGTCAGCGAGCCTGACCACCCGATGCCGTTAGTCGCCTTTTACGACAAGCATAGTCACCTTTTACGGCAAGCATGGGATGCTGAAGACCTATTCTACCCCGGAATCTTCACGTGTCTTGTCTTGAGGAAGCCTTAGATTACCATATATGCTGTTGATCTCGATTCCTTAGAATACCATGATCTGGGCCGTACTTATAGTTTATCATAAACCCAAGACTTTCAATGAGTTCTTTTAGGCACTGTGCAGCTATTTCACACTGGGATTAAGTTGCAGCTATTATCAGGAAGGTGAGTGAGTGAGTTGGGTTTAACGCCGCTTTTAACATTATTCCAGTTATATCACGGCGTGTCAGCTTAATGTGGGAGGAAAGCCCGAAGTGATGCAGGTCTATGACGTTTACCACTTCGGTGAAGCCCACGAGCCCGGGTATGGTGCTGACAAACCTAGAAACATAATTTGGGCGAACCGGGATTCGAACCCACAATCATAGGTTTCTCCCAAGGGACGCAACACTGCACAGCGAATCGCGGCGCCTTAGACGACTGGGCCACCCGTGCCCCCATTATCAGGAAGGTACCTTCGAGGCAGCGATGGTGTTATCAGAGTCAAGTAGACAG